CATGGAAACGAAAACTTGTCATACCAAATTCTGGTTTGCAAAAAAAAAAAAAAAAAAAATATTTTTGCCAACCCCTTTAGCCTATTTCGGAATTAGTGCGAGAGCCATATTTAACTTTGAAATTGTAGAAAAAAAAAACTGTAAGATATGGTTTGAATGAAACGGAAAGAGACAGCAAGACAAGACGAGCATTGAAAAATGAAAATATTCTACTATTATTTTTAGCCAAAATATCCACACCCATGTGTGCATATTCCATTGTGTGGATAATCTGATAAAAAGAATCATCCTTGCGCCCTCTCTTGTATCACGGGAATAGCAAAAGCATATGCCTCTTATTCTTACACAAAAAAACAAAGGATATATCTCTTCATTTGCAATTTAGGAAAATCGCCATCGTAGGTCCTCGGTCGCAGAGTCTATTTCATGTAAAGGCTATTGCATTTTGTTTTTTTGCATATAATTGCAGGCGTTGAATTCAAATCCTAACTAAGACAGATGCAGCGTATCCATTTTTATCTTGAATTGAGAATTTTATCAGCAGATATAAGCCTTTTTGACCATAGTGAAATTATAAGTAAACGGACGCGTCATAGAGAGCCACATGGTGTGATGATAATACAATAATACTGATCCTATAAGGAGGACGGCAATAAAACAAACTAGAAGTTTCGACGACGACGACAAGATAATTATGACAGCCACAAGATTTTCCAGGAAGAAAGAGGCACTTTTCTTTCAACCACCAACAAAGAAAATCTTCCACATCTACCAAAACATGTAAAAATATCGTAAAGGAAAAATAAACGAAAAAAAGGAAGAAACTCTGAAAAGACCTGTCTGGGTGTGTATCTTATCCATTTCTCCGAGGCCAAACGTCATCGAAAGGCGAAAGCGACTGTGCCTGATTGCCTACGTCGGGGCTTTTTCTTCATCAACCAGAGCGCCACGCACATAGTATCTTACTTGATTTGTCTGGATGCACTTAAAGTTTTTTCTTGGTACGTTAATTTAGCTCATAAATTAGAAGGTAGTTCCTCTTCTTTATTACCGCGGTAGTTGGCTGGACCAATGACTACAAGCAACAACGTGGTTGGTTGGTACAAAGAGACAATATACATATGAACTCATAATACATCTATCCGTGGCCATGGCATCTACTTTACCCACTCTTTGTCCGTGACTATCGATCTCTTCTCGGAAAGCATATAATTGAGCTAGATTACCACGTATATACTGCATACTTATTTAGTCACCTATATATTCTGGTGTTGTTTGTTCCAATGTTGGAATGAGATCATATGGCAATAAACATTATCGAGGTAATTGCCTTTATATGTTCCTAAAGTAAATTATAATATGCGCTGCGTGGGTTTGCTAATTGTATTCGGTTTAGAATTAAAAAGAATCCTCCTAGATTCCTAGTACAAAAAAAAACATACGGTCTTTTGTTAAAGAAAGAAAAACAGAGAGGGAAAAAATCAATATTCAATGAATTGCTTATCTTGTAATATTCTTTGATAGATTACACATTGGTATATATATGTATCAAGAGATAACCCATATAACTAACTTCAATAACTAACTAATAACCTTTATTAACAAACTAACTAGCTCATTAATTAACTAATCATCTACTCTTCTTAATATCTTGATCGAACCATATAATTAATTGATACAATGATTTTATCACTTAAACCATGCTAATTCAAGAAAATAAACTCTTATTAATAAATATTAGACCAAAAAAAATTCTTTATCAAAAAGCCAAAAACCTACCAATGAGGAAAACTAGAAGTTGGATGCACGCAGAAATAGGTTCTCTATAAAGTTTTTTTTTTTATTCATTAACACAGATATGTTTTGTGTATTTTAAAATTAATTTTTTATTAGATGTGGTTAAAAAAATACTCATATATGCTTTTTAATATTTTAAAAATATTAATCATAAAAATCAAACTCTAAATTCAACTTATAAATTAATAATGCCTTGCCGATAAACTATGACTTTATGATTTACGGCTTTTTATTCTACTCTTTGGTATATTTATTATGTATGTATTTTCATCTACTAAGGACTCCTCATCGTTGTTAATAAAATAGGTGGCTCAACTCTGAAATTTGGGGTATTCAAGTTACTGGCTCGTCACTTTTTTAGAATATAGAGCGTGGGACGTCGTACATTTCCAGCGGGCCCACAAAAGTGTTGAAAATTGATTAATATATATATTTTTTTCTTTATTTTGTTTTTAAAAAAGAATCGGAACGTGGGCTGCTTGAATTGGAGCAGTAAAAGTTAGACTTTCGATTCCCAATCCACCTTCGCAAAAAGGGCGGGATTCCCAATCGACAATTGGACATGATGACAAACAGAAGAGGATACAAAAGTAGAAGTGGAGTAGTTGCATGGAACGGAAGGGTACTTGTCTTCTTGATGTTTTTTTTAAAAAAAAGTCCTAAAATGATGTCGTCCCCAAGCCAAAAGAAAAAGGGCAAAGACAGGTCCATTACAATTTTTAAATAAATGTGTCATGGTAATTAATTTCTTGAAAAGCGAGCATGCACATGTTCCTAATCTAAGAAATTTTAAAACCAAAAAAAAGATGTGAAAACCTCAATTCAGTCCTTTATCTATATACTTATTCTCAACTACATCCAAAGTCTATAATTTTTTAACTAGGCCCCCAATCTTTCCAATATTTCTCGATAGGGTATTTTTTCAATTTTTGTTAAATTTTTTATTTTAATCTATTGTGCATGTCTTGTGCAATAAAATAACATCATTTTGAAGAGAATTTGATGAGAAAATTTGCAAAAGGACCTAATTAAGAATTGTTTGAAACGTTTGTAACCAAATTGATGAAATATATTTGTTTGAGAGCCAATTGAGAATAAGTATATAGGTTAAATGCTAAATTAAGATTTATGAAGAGAAATTAAGAAGCTGGATTCCAAAGAACGACAAATCTCTTTACCTTTCTTAAGCATGATATTTTCTTGTACTCTTTGAATCTAAAGTTTTAGTTAAAGTATGTTTTATCAAATCATAGAATTTCCATCTAATCTTAGCACGAATAGATCATTCTTTACGAGCTTGAAAGATAAATTTAATTTCAGTAAACTAAAACTGACGCTAAAATTATAGTGGTGGCAAAACAAAAAATAAAAAAAGTGCTAAGGTTATTGTTCGAAAGAAAAAGGAGCCCTTTGCGTCGTAAAAGGGATTTCCATGATCATCTCAAGAGTACAGTCTCATATCAAAGACGTCTATTGATGTGAAAAACCGTCCGTTTGATATTAATCATGGCCGTGTTGTGCAATAAAGACCTCAAGCAAGAACTTTATTCCTTCGGACACTAACGCGTGGCATACTACCAGTTCTTGCAGAAGCAAATAATTAATGGAAAGTTTTAATTCAGCACGCTCCATAGGCATTTTCTTTTTCAGGACTATCAGCAAAGCTTTCCATCCAAACCCAGCTAATATCTAATTTCTAATCATCGCGGAGAATCTTTTTGCCAGCTTCTCTTTCCATCGCTTGCTTTAATATCTCCCCGATATCTTTTGTGCTAATTTCTGTTTTACTTTATCCTTTACATTTTGATCTTTCAATGGGGCAAGTAATTCTTACTTGCAAAAAGGGTAACGCGAGTTTGAAGAGGGAAAATAAGGATTTGCTGAAAATAAATACACCTATTTCTCAGGCCGTTGGATTTCACATCTGATGGTCAGTGTTAGAAGTATCTCAAAACTCACTTTATACTTTCTACCCTTACGTTCATCCCCTAGTCGAACCCGAAAATAATTCAATATTGGCATATTGCCCTAGTTGCAATCTTATTTATACTTTATATTCCACCATCCCTGAAACAGTACAAACAACCTTATCCTTGGCAACTTTCCCTATGGAGTCATCCTCTCTGTTCGTTTCCTTACTGTTTTGTTTTGTGTCTCTTATAATTTTATCATACTCAAATGAGTAATTAATGACACATACATAGATATTTTATAGATTTATTTTTTATAAGAGAGATAGATACATAAAAAAAATCATGTAGATCCATTAAAAGAAATAAAAATATTTCCATATTTATTCAATTTTTTAATCTCTCTTTTCTTTTCTTTTTCTTTTTGTGTTTATAAATTTTATAATATTTAAAGAGTAATTATTGACATGTACAGTATTTATTTTATGGATCTACTATTAATGAGAGAGATAAACACATAAAAAAAGAGAATAACATCCAAACTCATTAAAAGTGATAAAAAGATTTTCGTAATTACTCATTTTTTAAAAAAATTCCCTCTTTTGTTTTTCTCTTTTTTTTTTTGTATCTATCTTTCTTTATCATAAATTTTATAATACTCAAAGAGTAATTGATAACATATATGGTAGTTATTTCATGAATCTATTTTTGAAGAAAAAGATAGATACATAAAAAAAGAGAATAACATCCGAAGCCACTAAAAATGATAAAAAAAAATTTAGATTTGTTTCATTTTTTTTTAATTTCTCTATTTTGTTTATCTTTTTTTTTTGTGTTAATCTTTCTTTATAAAAAATTTTATAATGCTCAAAAAATAATTAATAACATGTAAAATAATTATTTTATAAATCTACTTTAAAAAAAATAAATATATAAAAAAATAATATTCGAATCTATACCATAACTGTTGTATGTATCGTCTACTCTTTAGATATTATAAAATTTTTCGTAAATCTATATCCAAGTTGGGACATCATAGAAATTTGAACAGGAGGGGATGTGTCCGCCACATGACCTCCTTTAATATTCCAACCTCCCTCTCAAAAGTCTAAAAGCCCGAGTCAATTTTGTACATTATAGACGATTGAAATTGCATCAGAGCGTATTATAAAATTTCATATTGGATATAAACAATTCAAACTCTAGCACAACGTAGAACTTCTCGTTGACTATAAATAAGCTACTCATTTGGTTAAGGAAGGCATAAGTAACCAAACCATGGCCAGTGCTACTATGTCTAGTACCTCTCTTCTTCTGATTTCATCCCTCTTTCTGGCTTCTTGGTTTTGCGCAACTGAAGCGCAAAGCACTATTCCTATAGTGAATGGTCTGTCATGGACATTCTACAAGTCTAGCTGTCCTAAGGTTGAATCCATTATAAGGAAAGAGCTTGAAAAAGTGTTCAAGAAGGATATCGGCCAAGCTGCTGGCTTGCTTCGTCTCCACTTCCATGACTGCTTTGTTCAGGTTACAAAATATTTCAAGCATTTGAAACCCATTTTAGCATTCACTATTATGTTGTAGATCTACAACTACGTTTGGTTAGTTAATTAATATCCATAAATTAAAACTGCAGGGATGCGATGGTTCCGTGCTGCTTGATGGATCAGCGAGTGGTCCAAGCGAGCAGGACGCACCTCCCAACCTGACTTTGAGAGCAAAGGCATTTGAGATCATTGACGACCTACGCGAGCGGGTGCACAAGGCTTGCGGCCGTGTCGTTTCTTGTTCTGATATTCTTGCAATTGCAGCCCGTGACTCTGTTTTCCTGGTGAGCCAACTTGAATCGCTCCCTGTTCCTGCAGCGTTTGATACTAAGCTAGAATGGATTCCATAATTTAACTGTCTATCTTCTATACCATTAGATACACGCATACAGTTCAGCTAAAACCCCATTAATAATTGTGTTTTTTTTTTTTTTTTTCCTTACGTGTGGATTTGGAAAGGTGTCTGTAGAAGGTTATTATAGTGATTGAATTTTGGATATAAAGAAATTAATAAAATTGTTAGATAACGCACTAGTCGAGTATTTATGTGCCCACGTCAAATTTCTTTCCTGCAACTAAGGGCATTACATGGGACAGGTAAGACAACACATAAGCTTAGTTATCTTTAAAACATAGGTATCTGTCCATTTTTATCCAGTTAGCAAATTACGTTCCCATAATCTTTTAAAGTCTCTGGATAAATTATTACGTTTATGACTTTCGTTCCTGGTCATGAACATTAAACAGATAGATAGAGGGTGTGGACAGATGGCCTGTTGGATTCTGCTCAGTCTATGTATATTAAGCATGGATCATGGACAAAACCTTTTTATTTTATTCTCTATATTGTATATAAAAGAATAAGAATTAATAATTGTATTTCAGATTTTTTTTAATCATATATGTGGAGAAATTGTAAGATGTTAATGAAATAACTAACCATATTTATTTTATAAATCCACTTTAATTATATTTAAAAAAACAGACATAAATGAAAAAAAATCATTTCCATACCTATCAGTGATAAAAATATTTCAACTAAATTCTCTCTCTCTCTTTTTTAATGCCTATCGTTCTGTATAAATATTGTTATTTGCTCTGAAAATAACATAAAATTGTTAGTACATGTCCTGATATTTCAATTTAGTCTTTTTAAAGGTTCAATTATTTTGACGATGATAACATTAACCGGGTTTCATTCATAGTCAAATTTATGTAACAGCTATTAAAAAGTTGAAATCATGTGCCCAAACAAATTTTTTTTTTTTTCAGTCTTAAATTCATAACTCAACCAGAACTAACTCTTTTTAACTGTTATGCACTTTCTCTACTGCAGTCTGGGGGTCCAGATTATGTCATTCCCCTGGGAAGGCGAGACGGTCTGAACTTCGCAACACGAAATGAAACGTTGAACAACCTGCCTCCACCCTTTGCTAACGCCGACACCATTCTCTCATCCCTCGCCACCAAAAATTTTGATGCCACCGACGTGGTAGCCCTCTCCGGCGGCCATACCATTGGTATTAGTCACTGCAGCTCTTTCACTGACCGCCTCTATCCGACCCAAGATCCCACCATGGACAAAACCTTTGCCAACAATCTCAAGGGAGTTTGCCCTAGAAGTGATTCCAACAACACTACCGTGTTGGATATTAGGACCCCTAATAAATTTGACAACAAGTACTATGTGGATCTGATGAACCGCCAAGGCCTGTTTACCTCAGACCAGGACCTGTACACGAACAAGAAGACAAGGGGCATTGTCACTAGCTTTGCTGTTAATCAAACTTTGTTCTTTGAGAAGTTTGTGCTTGCAATGATCAAAATGTCGCAGCTGAAAGTAGTGACTGGAAATCAAGGAGAAATTCGCTCCCGTTGCTCGGTAAGAAATTCAGGCTACAGCTACTTGGGGTCTGTGGTGGAAGAGGGTTTCGAGACACTGTCGGAATTAATTTAAACAAATAAATTCTAATAACATGAAAGGCCGGGCACCACTAGCTAGTTTAAAAATGTTATGATGGTTGGGTCGCTGCGCACTTGTTAATTATGGGTTTCTTGTTGGTTTTTTTCTGCAAGTGCTGCTGCTGCTTTTATGGTTGCTGCTTGTTCTTAATAAAATGGTTGAGTGTGTAAAATCAGAGTTGCAATGACTAATAGGACGTTGGCTTTCTCAAAGTAGTAATTTATAATTATGGTTCTTTCTTGACTAAATTTGAAATGGTTGAATTTCTATCCTGAAATATTGGCCAACCTAAAAACTAGCCTCTAATGTTTATCCATTATAATTCGGGTTTTGATTTTTTTCTTGGTTAGCAATGTTGTATTTTTATTTATTTGATCATCTCATAACTCTTTAATGTCACAACAATATTCTGGAAGAGACACTTCCACCTGTGTGGTTGAGATTGTTCGGTAGTAGTAAGTATTTTTTTGGGTTTCAATGGTTATAAATTAGCGTTATTGTGATTGGAATTAATACAAGAGGGGTGAATTTATAAGTTCGTTCCTATTTTTTGAAAAATAGATTAATATTTTAAAAATTAATTATTTAATTTTTTGAAAAAACAATATTTCTAAAAAGAAGTTAAGGATCCAAATTAAAATAAAAAAGATTAAAAACTAAATTTATGTTGACAAATTGTTTATTAAGATAGTTTTTAATCAAATTAGCGGTTTGAAATTTAAGTTTCTAATGAAAAATTTTATAATACTCAAATAATAATTAGTGTTACCTATAATAGTTATTTTATGAATCTATTTAAAAAAAGAGACATAAAAAAAATAAAAAATTTTAAAATTAATAATTATTTTATGAATCTATTTAAAAAAAAGACATAAAAAAAAATAAAGAATTTTAAAACTTTGAACGTGAAAATTTTCTTATCGTTTTTTTATAGATTTAGGTATAATTTTTTTTTTAATATCTCTTTTTTTTAATATGAATTCATAAAATAAATACTCCATATATCATTAGTACGTAAGTATTATAAAATTTTACGTTCCTAACGAGCGAATTTTGTAACCTCTTCCGATAAGAGGAATAAAATGGCGTTAGTAAATTTCATTGCTCTCCCTGGGTCAAAACTGAGTAATTGCAAATGGGATGGTATTTTAGTTTTATAAATCTGGATTTCTATAGCCCATCGGACTATTTCTGTTTCAAGTCACAAATTTTTAGCCCCTGGATTTCGTACATTCTGGATTGGGCCAGCTTTGGTGCATTTATATCAAGTCTTTTTTCGACTCAATCTTAAAAATCCAATTCAAAATTATTATAAATTGTGCTAAAATTAACTCATATATAACTTTGCTTATATGATTTTTTATCCAATGATTTATAGCTTGACTTCAAGTGGCCTACTAAAATTTTAGTTAAAATAACTTTATACAAACGCAGTCGTTTTCTCTTAATTTTTTTTTTTAATTCAAATCTTTGTAAGGAGATTTGAAAACAGGAGTCGATAAATTTTTCTCTCATTACTTTTTTTTTTGGTATTTGTGTATTTCATGTAATTAACCGCGACATCTAATCTACCGTGGGCCATGGGCGCATGGGCTGCTGAGATTGGATGGTAGCAGTTGCACAGACCTTACTTCGATCTCCATTGTCGTTTTCAAAAAAGTTTGGATATGTACAGAGGAGAAGGGGAGCAGTTGCATGGCAAGTGATCCTCCTAAAAGAATTTCTTCCAAAAGAAAAGGGAAAAGTTCATAATTATTTTCAACAAGAATTAAAAAACAAGGACTCTTCCAGTAAACTGTATAGAACAAGAAATAAAAAAAAAATCCATAAAAATCATTGTTTGAAAAAAAAAAGAATTGTATATTAAACTGACACTTCATGATCACCACAGATGGATGAGCCTTCTGAAGAGACGTTCATCGATGTGAAAGAGATCTTTTTAGGTTAGGAGGGCCCAATGACTATAGATCGAACCCACCGTTTGAAGCACCCCAAACCTGCCCCGAAAAAATAGGCTTGACAAATGGAGCGAGAAAGCGGTGCCCTTATGCACGAATTATTGAATAAGCCATCTTGATGCTATGCGATAGTAACTGGGGACCATTAACAAAACAATTAAGAAAAGTAGACTTGTCACTATTTGGTATTGCTTACTCTCTCTCGGTTAACTGCGGATCAAGACCCATCGTAACTGTTTGTGCACCTCAGCCATTGATGCTTCCTCCTCTACATTACTGGCCGTGCGATTTTTTTCTTATTTCTTTTTGCTTTGTAAGTTGGTTAATTATTGCTACGTAGTTTCCCTCTATTTTCGTTTTTTGTCATTATCTGTTTTTGCTCGTTCCTTTCTTTTTGTCTCCTTTGCAAGTTGTTTAACTATTCATCCTGTGTTTTTTGAATAACTTCAGTCTTGCCATTGTCTCTGTTGTTTAAGAGCCACAAAAGAATTCCTGTGTGGGCCACTTTGCTGGGAAGGCAGGGATTGGTTGGTGAGAATTGCATCAATCAAAAATGAAAGCAAGAAAGGTAAGAAACAACAATTGATTGCAAAAACATTTTTCTCTGAGATATCTTATAACAATTATCCACTGGTGCTTCCTGGCTTGGAATTATCCAAATTTTTTTTTCTTTTTAGCAATTTATGTTCATTGGTTTTTTTTAAAAAAAATATTGAATTGGATACAAAAATTATGAAAATCTATCGTTATTTTTTTCACACATGAGTAAGCTTTGATGATTTCTAAGTAGTAAAGACATGTAAGGATTTATATTTTTTAATTGTATCCGTGATATTTCATTAACTTAATTAAATATATTATTTATTCAATTGAAAACAATTTAATATATTACGAGTTATTTTGTAAACCCGTATGATACCAAATGATTATCTTTTTTAATTATATTTTTTATATAGACTATTATTTTTTTTGTTATATTGTAAGCTTTGATGATTTCTAAGCAAGTAAAGACATGTGGATTTGTGTTTTTTAATTGTATTTGTGATATTTTATTAATTTGATTAAGTATGTTATTTATTCGATTGAAAACAATTTAATATATTACGAGTTATATTGTAAACTTGTATGATACTAAATGATTGTTTTTTTAATTATATTTTTTATATAGATTATTATTTTTTTGTTATAATTTAAAATTTGATATAAAATAATATGAGATAGAATAAAACCGTGATAATAGCTGGATCATTATCTTAGCTCATTTAATAACCTATAATCACAATTTGTTAGCTTCTGTTGTTTTTAGTTAGATCAGTTTAGTTATTGGGTTTGTTAAATCAGTTAGTTGTTAATGGGTCTGGATAGTTAAATGGACATTTAGTTTCTTGCTTAGTTGGATCTAGTAAGCTTTAGCTGGCACTTTCTATAACAACTGACACTTTGTATAAAAGCCTCTTTTCCCCTATCAATGAAATAGACTCGAACAATTCATAAGTATATCCTCGTGTTAACGATAGTAAAGAATTAAACGAGGCAAGCATAAAAAATTAAATGAGGCATCGATACTCCGTGGAAATCCCCATCTCTATCGGAGAGGGAGATATGCGAGAACGAAGCGGATTTTTTCGGGGCCATCCCCGTCCTCATCCCGTCCCATTGCTATTCCCGGTTCTCAAGAGGCGTTCATCGATGTGATTCCATGCGACAGTACTCGGGGACCATTAACAAAACAATTAAAAAGAGTGGACTTATTAGAGCATCTCTAATGCTCTCTTTATATTAAGATTTTTTTATCTAATAAAGAGGTTTGATCCAAATTTCATCTCCAATGCTTTCTTTATAACAATATCTATCTTTAAAATTAATATAGAGAGTGTCTCTGGCTCTCCAATACTAGAGAATCAAAATGACTCTTTATCTTATATTTTATTAATAAAAATTACTATTTCCTATGCCGCTCAACCTCTTCACCAATAGTCTCTCTAGGTTTTATAAATTTTGTCAAAATAAAGAGTTAAGTAGAAAGTAGCATTAGAGAGGCTATCGATCTTCAATCTATATAATTAATGATGCTCTCTATTTACATTAAAAATGCTAGCTAAAAGTAAAGAGCACAATCGGAGATGCTCTTACTATTTAGTACCGCTTACTCTCTCTTGGTTAACTGTGGACCAAGACCTAGAGTTTGTGCACCTCAACCATTGATTCTTCCTCCTCTACGTTAGTGGCCGTGCGATTTCTTTCTCATTTCTTTTGCTTTGTAAGTTGGTTAATTATTGCTATGTGGTTTCCCTCTATTTTTGTTTTTTTCATTATCTCGTTTTTGTTCGTTCATTTCTTTTTGTTTTTTTTTATTATATAATTCGAGGTGTCCGGCCAGCTTGCGCGCACCTTAACTAATCCCTGGACCCACTGAACACCCTACAAGCCCAGCGGGCAAGTAAGGCACCGTGGGGGTGACAGGCGTACGTAGAGAGAATCGAAACCGGGTGTCATTGGTGAGCGAACCTTAACCTCACCATTGGACTGCGACCTCAAACCCTTGTTCGTTCATTTCTTTGTCTCCCCTTTGCAGGTTGCTTAACTATTCATCCTGTTTTTTTGAATAATTTCAATCTTGCCATTGTCTCCGTTGTTTGAGAGCCACAAAAGAATTCCTATGTGGGCCACTATGCTGGGAAGGCTGGGATTATTTGGTAAGAATTGCATCGATCAAAAAAGAAAGCAAGAAAGAAAAGAAACAATAATTGATTGCAAAAACATTTTGCTCTGCGATATCTTATAGGAATTATCCACTTGTGCTCGCTGGCTTGGAATTATTGATTTTTTTTTCAGCAATGTTTGTTCATTCTTTTTTAATTATTGAATTAGATGAAAAGATTAGAAAAAATCTGTTGTTATATTTTTTCACACATACTCACAATTATAAACTATATAGAATGTATTTTCAAATTTTAGAATTAACACACACATATATATTATTTTTATTATTTAAAATTGATCTATTCAATTTATCATTTTTTTATGAAAATTCTCATCAAACTAAGTTATTATTTTCTATATAATTTTATTTGTTAATAAATATGATTTATTTTTCTTTATATATGGATTTTTGAATAAATTTTTTAAAATAAACAATCAATTAAAAAATAAAATTTACGTTTTCTATTTGTTTATTATTAATATAATCAATTTTATTAGAATCAATTGTAGCTGTTTTTATTGTATTTTATATATTCTTTACCACTTAAGTTATATATATATAATGAGATTTATATTTCATATTCCAACCCATTAATTATGGTCATGTTGTATAAAAAAAATTATTTGAATTATTGGTTTCATTAATCATGCATATGCACACATACCATCACCCATTTGCTATTAATTTTTTAAAATGTTTTAAAATTATTTTTTTCAAAGAAAATAATCGAAATAACATTCATAAGAACTACCAATAATTCAAATACATTTTTATACGGATATTATTGATTAATTTGTGTGTATATATATATTTTTTTCAAAAAGTTAAAAAATATTTATTTGTTAATTTTTATACTAGTTTTTATATTGGTTATTATTTTATTTTTTCGATGCAATCCTAAGAAAAAAATTAAGAAATTTTTAAAATTTTTTATTTAAATTATTACAGATTTTTATTTAAGAATGAATACATAATGAAGAATAAATCATATTTTTTAATAATAAAATTTATGAAAACATAAAAAAATAAATAAAATATAAATTTTTGATAAAAAATATATTAAATTAAAATAAATATGTTTAGTTGTATGAGTAAAGAAACCAATTAGTCTGCGCTAAAACAAAATTGCTGGCAATTGAATACAAAAGAATTGCTATTGGCACACTCTTCCGTCTATTGGCACAACCTAACCAGTTCTTTGTTACTGAAATAACCAAAATGACCTTACTCATTTCTTTCTCTCTGTCTTCTGTTATATACATATCCACACACAAAATATTTTGCTCTTTAATTTTAAAATAAAACAATTTATGTATGGCCCCACAAAAGTTTTCTTTTTTCTTTTCATTTTCTTTTTGTTTTTCATTTCCATTTTCATTTTCATTTTCGATTCTCTCGCTCCCCGTGTGCTCCTCCACTTTCAAACGCAGATATCTTCGCTGAACCATATTTCCTATAAAAAAAAATCTGCCCTTGTTTTAGACAACCATTTAAATTCAGTCCCATTCACAAACACTATACCCCATCCTATATGTTAATACTCCAGGCATTATTACAATTGCAAACACAACCCATATTATCAAGCCCTATAAAAAATCCATCTTCTCCACCCCTAATTGAAGTCACCATTATCGTGAGAGAGTAAAGAGAATTCAAAGCATCAAAACCCGTTTGCTGTTAAGACAAACCCACCCTGTTCTGGTTGCTAAAGAAAATTTAAGAGGGTTGTGAATTATTTTTTGATGGCGTGAATGGCCATGGCAAAGGAGGAGTTCTGCAGAGAGGGAGAGAGAGAGATGATTTTTGGTCTTTTCAAGAAAGGAACTAGAAAGGTTATTTTGGTTATTTCACAAAAGAAAAAATTGCTCAGACTTTGCCAATACGGCAATAAGACTAGAAGATCGTGCCAATAGCCATTCCTGAATATAATTATTAAACTTTTTACAGAGAAATTATTAAGTGCGCGCGGATACTTATCATTCTCACATAAATATAAATATAGACTGCATAATAAAAATTATTCATGAATTCATTTTTACGTAAAAGAAAAGAATATAGTTTTTGACATGCTAAATAACTTCTACTTTTTACAATAACAAATAATAATATTTTGAAAGACAGGCACTCGTAGGTAGACACATGAGATAAATTTTAGAGAAAGGTGATAAAATAAAGAAGCTGTATATTGCGTTTATGCAAGTAATCGAATATAATTATTATTGATTTGCATATAAAAGAATGCATAAAAAACCTATCATCTTACTTTTGCACCATATAACATCATATTCAAATTGTCATAAAATGAAAATTCAAAGTCAAGGAAGAAATCCAACTTCCCTCGAAATTAAAATTTGATGCAGTGTGTAATTATAATTGCAAAATTATTCATAGTAAGAAAAAGGATTTGAAACGTTGTTATAATTCTATCAGGGAATCAAGGTTTACAAAAAACAATTGATTAATTCAAAGGTCTTAAATTCAATTTAAAGTTTAAAAATAATAATTTGAATTGATTTCAAAATCATGTAAATATGTTATGTACTAGAAAAAAATATGCATGTGAAAAGGACATTACATGAGTATTATTATTATTATTTTAGTTTATCGAGAGGGTCGTGAGTTTTGGACTATATTATGAAAATAACCTTTTTTAAATTATATAATAAGTAAATAAATTCGAATCATTAATATTCAAATATGTTTTACTGGATTAAACTACTAAGCATACACCGCTCAATTATATTCAGTTGTGAATATTAAGCATTTGAAAACACAATTTCATCGTCACATTAAAAATCTAGTTTTCCATTTACAACAAACCTCTCCAATGAAAGCACTAGACTTAGGCGTAACATTATTTCTTCTAATTCAAACGAAGAAGGGCATAAATGAAAACAAAAATTATAGCTATACCAAACCCATAACATTATCATCCGCAATGCCCGTCTCTCATCTCTCGTGAGTTTTTTTTAATCTTTTTCTTCCCGGTACATCTTTCCTAGCAAGTAGCAACAAGATGAGTGAGAATTTGAGAAACGAGAGAATTTATCAAGACCGCGTTGCTGACGTCAATTACGTGCGACAAGGGATTAAATGACCTTCTTCTTTGGTTCGTATAAAAAAATTAAAATAAGAAAAACTTATTCTTGGGTGCCAAGCTGATACAAGTCTTGCAATATGCTTTTATTATCCTCAGTCATTTCCTTATATCGTTTCTCCATTTTCACTTTATTTTTTGTTCGCAACCATCATAAGACATCATTTCTACCAACTCCATACCTCTTTATCAATGTCTGTAATATAAAATATTATCGAATCTTACTTAATGTTTTAATTTTTTTATTAAGATAGTTATATGACATGATATTATAATTTAAATAACAAAATAGAATTGAAACCTACCAACTCTACTCTTCTTATTAATTATAAAACTCAATTCAAGCTAGTTGCAAACTTATGTAAGATTTAAGTTTAAGAGTTTTCATTTAAAAAAATACATTATAATTAACATAAAAATAATGATAAACAAATACAAACATCACCTAAGGACTTCAATGTTTGAATTGAAATAACTCTTTAACAATAATTATATCGCAAGTTTATCGTAAGTTGGAGCTTGAAAAAGGGTGTGAACGTTGGGACGTGTCCACCACACGACCTTTAGCTTTCAGTCTACCTCTCTAAAGTCTAAAAGCCCAGGTCAATTTTTAACATTATTTTGAGTGGAATAATGAACGACTAGGATGCATAGACTATTCAAATTACATCCGAGAATACGATAAAAACTTCATGCTGAGGATAAACAATTCAGAATACTAGCACAACGCGACACTTTTCATTGGCTATAAATTAGAACATTCTTTCGTTAACTAGGACATGAGAAACCAAACCATGGCTACTGGTGCTAAGTCTTTCACTTTTCTCCTGATTTCTTCTCTCTTCCTAGTTTCTTGTTTTTGTGCCAAGGGGGCACAGAACCCCGTTCCTATAGTGAATGGTCTATCATGGACCTTCTACGACTATAGCTGCCCTAAAGCTGAATCAATTATAAGAAAACAGCTCAAGAAAGTGTTCAAGAATGATATTGGCCAAGCTGCCGGCTTGCTTCGTCTCCACTTTCACGACTGCTTTGTTCAGGTAAAATAAAATAAAAAAATCAAATATTTGAACCCCATTTCGGTGTCCACTGCTATATATATTCTAAACAATGTTATATTAGTATGATTTTATATGTCACCATGTCTTACGATTTTATTTTGATCCGTGAAAATTGCAGGGATGTGATGGTTCAGTATTGCTTGATGGATCAGCAAGTGGTCCAAGCGAGCAGGATGCACCTCCCAACCTGACCTTGAGAGAAAAGGCATTTGAGATCATCAACGACCTACGCGAGCGTGTACACAAGGAGTGTGGCCGCGTCGTCTCTTGTGCTGATATTGTTGCAATTGCTGCCCGTGACTCTGTTTATCTGGTAACCTATTCTTGACTAACTCAACATTAACTATTATCGTAAAATTACCCAGTATCACATTCGATGCTGTCTCTATGATTCAGTGATGCTTCGGCAAACTTCTGGACTTGAGTTCACGACTTCAAGTTCTTTATTGATTATTATCATGGGGTAAGGAGAGAAAGCAAGTATGAATAGTTTCTCACACACACATAAAACGACTTACTATGATCTATTAATTTGAGTTTTTCTTCATCGAAAGTATATATGATATGCCTTTTCCCAGTTAGTAATTGGAGATGAAATTTGAGATATTTGGTAAATGTTTTTAATTTTTGACAGAGAGAAAGGTAGTTGTTGAATATACGTCATAGACTGTAGAGTGTTGAAGTTTTGTTCTGGAGTCTATAATTGTTCAATTATCATGACTAAAATTTGAGTCAAGTCTTTCTGTGTTTCCGTCGAATTTCAGCCCAGCAATTAAGGGCATTAATGTGATTTTAATATAAGGCACCAAAAAAGCTCAGCCATTAATTATGTTGTTGCTGGAGCTTTGATTAACATGCATCAGACCATTTATATCCAAACGCGGAAAATTTATGATATCTATCAATTTTTTTCTTTTCCAGTTGAGTGATTGCAAGAGGCAAATCTGGTTTAAGATGAGTAATTGTTACGTTTATGACTATCTTATCACTGTGTATGGCATATTGAACTTAATTAACTAGAGAGAGGAAAAATGCAGGACTCATTGAATTGTGCTGTCTCAGCAAGGGGGGCTAAATTTATTTTAAATTTTAAATTGGGTCTTGATTTTTTATCGAGATCATGCGCCTTTATAACCATGAAAACTGGGATTTGTGTAGACTGTAGACGTGTTTAACATTTTGACTAATCCTAGGTGATGTCAGTTGGTGATGTTTGGACGGTGTTTTAGATTTGATTATTTCCTAGTGGAGTAGTTTTTTTATTGTTTTTGTTTGTCTTCTGATAATTTATATATTTCATTATTAATTTGTTTAAGGTACAGGGTAGTTTGCTGTTCACAGGAGACTTTTGGCTGTCACTGTGAAAAGTAAACGAAATGAAGTCTTCCTTTTTAACTTTTAAAATTTCAAATTGGCAATGATATCCGCTAGTACTATGTTTTACCATCAATCGGTAACATGCATGCATAAGCATGAATAATGTGAAGCCACATGCAAGTAATAAAATTTTCTCAGTCAACCAAAACCTTATCCCTGTTTTCTTGTGTGAATTTTCTCTTGCAGTCAGGTGGCCCTGATTATGATATTCCCTTGGGGAGGCGAGATGGTCTAAACTTTGCAACACAAAATGCAACCTTAGCCAACTTGCCACCACCCACTGCTAATGCCAGCACAATTCTTAGATCTCTCGCCACTAAAAAATTTGATGCCACCGACGTGGTAGCCCTGTCCGGTGGCCACACCATTGGTTTAAGTCATTGCAGCTCTTTCACTGGGCGCCTCTATCCAACCCAAGATCCTACCATGGACAAAGCCTTCGCTAATGATCTCAAGGGAATTTGCCCCACAATTAACTCCACCGGCACCACTGTGCTGGATATTAGGACCCCTAATAAATTTGACAACAAGTACTACGTTGATCTCATGAACCGCCAAGGCCTGTTTACCTCAGACCAAGACTTGTACTCGTACAACAAGACAAGGGACATTGTCACTAGCTTTGCTGAAGATGAGAGCTTGTTCTTTGAGAAGTTCGTGGTTGCAATGATCAAAATGTCACAGCTTAGCGTATTGACAGGCAACCAAGGAGAAATTCGTGCCAATTGTTCGGTTAGAAATTCAGACAACAGCTATTTGGTGTCCGTGGTGGAAGAGGATTTGGAGACAAAGTCCGAATTGAGATAAAAGACCTAATTTCTAAATGCTAGAAATGCCAAGTTCCACTACTTAGCACTAGTACTCTATGGGTTACTTGTTGCTGTTTTTCAATTATGTTGCTTTTTCTTGGTAAAATGCTAGTAGTTGACTATTCTGTAAGATTTTAGTTTGGATGACTAGTTGGAAGTTGGCTCTGTCAAAATAAATAAAATTATTTTTAACGAGTTGCTGTTTACATGATACATTTTTAAGAGATTTGTGATTTGGGTTCCTACCGGATGAAATTCTCCTCTTCCAATAAGAGTGGCTGTGTCGTGCCGATGTCTTCGGCCCAAAACTGAGGGAAAATTAAATTTTTCGGCGTTTATTTCGATTTTTAAAATTACTGGCCGTAATTTACGGCTCGTCATAAGCTCTATTTCAAGTTCAGGCCTTCTGGGCTCTTGATTCATTAACAAATCCTTACGAGTCTTAGACCATGGCCTCGGTTACCGGCAGTGACACCTGTCAAGTTTAAAAGCTGTCCAAACCTTGTTCACACACAAAAAAAAAAAAAAAAGAGTCCAACCTTTTTGAACAGTACTCCGTAGGTGAGTTTTCGAGTTTAATAATGTGACCATCCTGCAAGGCCCATTATATCATCTATTTTGAGTTCACAGTAAATTTTTTCTACGACCGCTATAAATGGGCTAATGAAGTTTTGATTCAATAACCGAGCCTTTTGAGGACTACCATCGTTCGGTTATCGCGATCACAAGGGGTCCAACCCTTTTGAACTATTCGTAAAAGTATAATTAATTTTTGACTTAATTATAGCTTAGTTCAAGGTAATTTGTCGTAACTAATTAATTAATCTACATACTATTAAAAATAATAATCAAATCGTCATTTTACATGCCGTGATAGTTATCGATTTTTTTTTTAAATACTTCCTTCCCTAATCAAATATTTATATTTCCTACCTTATCTATTTGTCTTTTATTTTTTCCAGTTTTCAAAGAATAAATTATTCAGGGATTTAATAATGTAAGATTAAGTAATGGTTTTTGAAACTATGAAGGCTAGTTAATTGATTTCGATAAGTTAACCAAAGTAAGTTATAAGTAACTCTTAATTTTAGGAATTTCTCTAAAAGACTTGTGTCTGTAAAATGCAAATACTAGATAAATCAATAGATTTGAATAAAATATAAAAAAAATCTGTTAATTTTAAATAAATGTTCTAATCAATTTTCTATTAATGTAAGCATTTGTTGCAATGGATGTATGGATGGAAGTCAAATTCAATCCATACAATGCGTCAATAAAACTTTCCTGCTGATTTGTTTTGGGTGGCAGGGCAGATCAAATGCTTATTTACTCCAGGGAGTCCTCCTGGTTACTGAAAAAATTAAAACAACAATAGAAATGTTAGTGCTATAGCCATACAAGCCATGGGAAAAAGAAAGAAGAAAAAAACAGAAGGCAAAACACAGAGCAAAAGATATCTGCTCTCTGCACAATAGATAACCTACTGAACTATAAACTAAAATTCAAAAAATACATGAACTTTATAAATGGCAAGCCCATTGATTACTAACGAATTCCCGAGGGTCATACTTGCGACAAAATCTACTATCGTCTTATTATTTTAATTAAGTGGTAATATAATTGATAAAAGCAAGATCGAAAGGAGACCCCGATCAATTGATATGCAACAATTTGAATTATAAATTTTAGAAATTTAAAGAATAAAAAAGGAAAGAAGCAGTAAAGTTTTGCATGATTGCATAAATCAGGTAGTGGTGATCAGTTGCAAGAGATTGCACCAATACATACGCAAGGATTGGGGAACAACGATATTGACATGTATAGATATACATGGCCCTAATATATATATATATATATATATATATATCATCTTCTGAGATGTTAAATCGGTTTGTGCTAAAATATATTAGTATCTATCAAAATCAGAAGAAAACAATGCACTGGTGAGTTGACAAATTTTTAGTTGGAAATTATTAACAAAATCCCACAGCACAAGAAATGTAGATTATATTGGACCTCGTTTTGATCATGCGACAATACCAGGCCAACTATCACAATAATGACAAAAATCATCAATGAAATAAGCAAGCAAGTAAATGAAAGAAGGAGAGGAAGGAAACATTGCAGGCTGCCAATGTTCATTTCTTAAATAAGTCATTCAAAACTGTTTTTAGATGCTAACAGAGGATGCACTTGATACGCATCATGGGTCCATTGTGTCTCTTGCAAGGGGTTGACCTCTGCTTACATCTTCTAAATTCATGGATCTACATGCTAGATACTGAAAAACACAATCAATGGACATTAGTAAATAATAAATTGCTTACTTTGCTTTGCATAATCATGATGTGGAAAAACCAATTTAATTTTCAATAGCACAAACAAGAATATAGAGTTTATTGAGAGATATGAGTTTTCCTCCCACTCTCTGAAAAACTAGAGCGTAGTTTTCAATAAAACAATCAATCATCTATAAATATGTATTTATAGAATTAGAGTTGAGATGCAAGAGAAAATCAGTTTCAAATAATAAAATAGTATTTATGGATTCTCTAATCAAAGAGTTCAAATGTAACAGGCCATACATTAATAAACAAAACATCACATATATTAATTAATCGAAACAAACTATAACTCATAAATTTAATGGATCACAATTCAACTATGGATTTTGGTAACTATTATCTCCGAATCATACTTTCAACCTTTTTGTTTAATAAAATATAAAATTTACATATCAATATTAGCTCATATTTAAATATAAAATCTATTAGTTCAAATTCAAGTTTATAGAATAGACTGGTGAAATTATTTCTTTTATTTTTGCTAATTGAAGAATGTTTCATGGATATAATGCATGATTTTAATTTGGTAAACATGATTGTGTTAGAATTCAAGTCTCTTAATACATTGAGAGTTTCTATAGTTAGATCGGCTTTTCTTCCCTGCTACTTGGACTATCGTTTTATTGCACGCAGTTATGCCCAAAAATTTAAGCTTATACATGAAGATTAAATATAGGTTTTTATGTTTTAATAACGTAAAAATGATGGCTTCATCTTGAAAATAAGCATATAAAAAACTAGCCAAGCTAATTTAGCAATTCATGCAATGTAAAATTTTAATACCTCAGAACACATAATTATAGAGAAAATAAGAGGAGCATATACCTCATTTTATTTAATATTTATATAGCTAAATTATATATGAATTATTTTTTAATTTTGCTTTTTGTACTTCCATATGTCTAACCTACTAATAATTAAAATTCAATGAACTTTAAACCTTGTCAAAACCATCAATTTTATTTAAAATAAAACCTATAAAAATGATTTAAAATACGATTGAAACGTATTTATAAGCTACTTTAAGAAAATTTTCTTACATGCATATAGCAAACATATAAGCCTTGACTTGGAAAGTTGTTTAAAAAGTTCATGTGACCTAGAATCCAAGTTTCTTTCGGACATATATAAGATAGCGGTTTTTTTTTTTTTTTTTTTTTTTTGGGTGATAACTCATTGAAACCATGTTGGTATTTGCAAATCCACAAAATGTGGACAATAACATTCACAGAGCCAGCCAACCCAACTGGTGGCCTATCTGAGGTGAGATTCAGCTATTAAGATGATATCCATGATTTTGTACGACAATTGTATCAGTTATAGTTTTCAGGTTGGGAGACCTGAAAAATTGCTTATCAGGATTTGACATGATGCACCAACATTTACAATTCTTGCCTCCAAGTTATCTTCGAAGCAGGAATGGGACATCATTTTGATCGATGCAAACATTTTAACGTGCTGATCATTATGATCCTCGCATGTATTTGGATTCCTAATTTAAAATTCTTAGATAGAATATGTATGTCGCATGAAGGGAAACACTTGCTTCGTGTTTGGGTTCTTCGCAGCCATTGATTGACCCATGTCAGATTGGCAGACAGACGGATCTTGTACGGGCCGAAGAACAGTAATCTCGAGTCCACTAGGTTTTTATTGTTACGGGCCTTCTTTTAGAATAGCCTAAAATCAAGATTCACCATGTAACAGTTTATTCGGTTTCAACCTTGAATTGGCACACTTAAGTCGACATCTCCATTTATTTTGAAAAGAAAACCGTAAATTAATTATTATTTCAGTTATCGATTATTTGGGAATAAGACATAGTAGTTGATTTGGATTAATATTTTCCTAATTCAACAACAATTTATTAAATGTCCATGACAAGAACTATACATATATACAGAACACACTGATTAAAAAAAATAAACACTCAATTTGATTACAATAACAATAACAAGGAGAAGAACAATGGTAGCAGTCGAAGTAAAAGTGAAAAGAAGGGAAGGAGAGAGAGCAAAAAGAAAAGATTTTTGTTTTTCCTAAAATGATCTTTCGGTCAAAACACGTGGCTTTACTACAATCCTCCTAATCAATCCCATTTATAAGAAGCCTATAAAGGAGAGAATTTTCACAAGACAAGAAGAAAAACGAAAAAAAGTGAAAGATTTGCAAGACCTTGGGTGGGGAATATAATGATAATATTTTCTGATTGCGGCCAGAAATATTATAACAACCTAGGGGCTGGAACTATTTTTCGTCATCTAAGGTTCTTTCGGAAGGGCATGCCAATTGCCAGGGGCAAAAACCTCAAATTGTCATCATGGTGTTTCCCTTATTGGAAACACATGGAACCAGCCAGGGTTCTAATTGTATTGCCTTTTGCATGAAAAATGCTTCCCTTTTGGATGTTTGTGAATGCACCGAATCGTGAAAGTTGAAAACTTTGGCGGGTTTTGGTTGGAGTACGACTTTGTGAGCGTACACAAATAGATTGGCTAAGTATATGCCTATGCTTGGATTCTTTTCACTTCACTGAGCTGGCCATGGCATGAGGTTCAAAATAAAAGTGCCTTTAGCAGAATAACCTGCTTTATCTTTGTCGGCCTTTTATTTCTAGTAAGCACAACGTCCAAGTCACAAACAGCTTCATCAAAGATTCCACTCCGAATTAAGGTTGCTTCATGGATTTCTAAACTTATGTGATTTAATGGGTAAAAGAAGTCCACCTAGAATCATATACTTTTCTCTTCTCAATTCACCCGCCTTGAACCTTTGACCTATCGAAATTTGTACGAAACACAAACCAAACAGCTACAAAGAATGATATACTTTTAAATGCAAATGCTTATGTTTTTTTACAATATATGAAATTTATAAATATATAATTTGTATTTAACGTTGTTTTATTTAACTTTTGTTTTGTTTTTTTGGAGGAAATCTATTTATTTATTAAGAAATACATTCTATCGATAAAAAAAATGTTTTAGTTTGATCAAAATAAAAATTTAATTTTGCATTATTCTTAAATAATTAATTATGATTGTTTTTTAATAGTATCAAATTTAGGTTGGTTTGAACTAAAAAATAATTTAATGATCGATTAAATGATAGACATGTTCTAAAAATAATTTAATTTAGAAAGTAGTAGACTTAATATCAATTAATATGAAAGATAATTCAAAGATATTCCCCTCTGTCTCTCTCTCTCTACTATGTATATATATATATATATATATATATTTTTATTGAGTATGCGGTCTAAAATTACATGTTATCTGTATAATTAGACCTTAACCATTTTTGTCTTTTTCTTTTTGATTCTATCTTAGATAATTGCTTGTGATTTTCTTACTGGTGGTAATCCTTTGTCTCCTTAGTTTTTTTTTTCTTATTTTTCTCTTTAGCGTGTTAATGATTTAAATTTAGATCGGATTTGTGCACAAAATTCTTATTTTCTTATGATATTTTGTCCTTGAAATAAGACTTTGATATATACTTTTGCTGGTTAGTGGTAAGTGTTGAAAGAGATAGACAATTTTGGATGGTTGAGATTTTTTTTTTATCAGGACTTTGTAGTACAGCTTGTTTTTTCGATAATTTATAGTGTGTTAAACTCAATTGTGCGCCTTGTGTGAAAAAAATTTCATTTTGAGCAATACTCATCTAAAAGTTTTAATGAACTTTGTTTAATCGATAGCCAGCTAATCGCTGACAAAAATACAAATTTTCTTTTTAATTTTTAATATAAAAAAGGAAATTGTTGGGAAGGAGGGAGGTTCTATTGGATTGCATATTAGAAGCCAGCACCTTGCGGAGTCGCAAAGGCACCGCAACCAAGGATATTGCTTTTAAAAATTTTCTTGCAGGATTGCATATTAGGCCCATCCCCACCTTCAACTTGCCGCCTTGCTCCACTTCGACTAGCTGACGACAGGGCACTCTTTCAATGTTTTTTTATAGAGGAAACCTCAATTTAATTATAAGCTTATATATTCATTTCAATTGAATTTCAAATCTATAATTTTTATCAATTAGGTCATAAATATTTACGAAATTTTTTCTTATAAGTTTAGAATGTAATTAAAAATAAATATATAGGTTTAGAACTAAATTGATATTTCTATTTATTATATAATGATCTCCTATTTTGCTTAGTTCAAAATGAAGTAGGGAACTATAGCAAAGTGGCAAAATAAACCCAATTACTTGTTAGGAATTTTTATTTATTTATGTAAAGGTCAATGGAACTACACAATAAAAGAGTAAATTATAAATTACTCCTTTTAAAAAAATGAATTAATTAATTCATTTTGTACTAAAAAATAATTATTTAATTTATTAAATAGTATTGATCATGCTTAATTTAATATTATTTTATTTTAAAAAATATTATTTGTTCTCATTAATCCTTTCATATTTTTTTTACTTATTTTTTCTATTTTTTTAACTAAAAAATTTAAAATAAATTGAAAATAAACGAAAATGATTGTGTTACAATTGTTTTTTTTTAAAAAAAATTATAAGGATTAAATAATTAATTTTTTTAAAAAATATGACTAATTTGTTCATTTCTCGAAACTAGATAGATTAATTTATACTTTACTTTACAATAAAGATAACTTCCCACTATTATATTAACATAATCTAGAAAATTAGAGTTATTGGAAAATCAAAATTTACTTTACTAGAAAGAGCCATAACCATGAATAAACAGACTAGCACTAGATAGGAATTTATATAAACAAGAATGTAAAGCAAAAAAAAAAAAAGAGACATTTGGGTTCGGGAGATTAATGGGAATAAGAAACGATAGTTACTCTCCTGAAGTCACAAGAGTTTATTGTTACCACGTCTTTCTTTCGAATAATTCAATTCAAGACTCTCTTAAGTCTCCGAAAAAGAATAAGGAATGAACTCTCACGGGACCCACTTTGGTGATCAGCGGTTTGGATCACTTCTAGGCTCATACTTTTGGATCCAAAAGATTGCTATAAAGTGGAATCCTCAAGGTAATGTTCCCATAAAACAACAAAGGCCCACAGAGCACTACGCCCCCAACATTAGCAGAAAGTGGAAGATTTACTTCATTGCTTTTATAAAGGCCAGTTAGGCCAATGGCCAATGGCTAATGGCTAATAGCTAATGGCAAATGGCCAATGGCTAATGGCTAATGGCTAATGGCTAATGACTGACTATTAAACTGAGCAAGACAACTTTCCCGTCTGGGGCCTCATCTCGCTTCCTTACCAAACCCATGGACTTTTTATCCTCTGTTTAAAGCCTAAACACCCTCAACTGGGCCCCAACACCCAACCCCTATATTGATGGTTAGTGGGCCCTACCCCACCACGAGAACTCATTTGTGCCAATCACTTATCATGGCATCCTGTGCAATTTGGCCCCACCAGCCACCACCACCACTGGTTTTCATGATTCCCTTGATAAAACACATACTACTATGATAGCAACTTAATCCTCCCCAACATCACCGCATGGTCTGCCACCACACAGGATCATGATGCACTTCCATTTCCCTCATGATCACCACCCTCCATTCATTGTCCAATCCAATTTTTTTGACGTGCATGTGAACATAGTATTTCCATGTCCCAATAATAATATAAACACCATGTAGGATCCAAAATAATGTGCCTTCCGGCTAACCAACGAACAAAAATTATCACAATTGGTGCTTTGGCTTTGGTTATTACTTGGGTTTTGGTCATGGAGAAGAGCAAGTCATTCCCTCAATACTCTTCATCTTTCTCTGGGGAATTTGGGTTTGAAGATCGATCGAATTCTTATAACTTCAACGGGCCATGCCAAAAGGGAAATGGTTTTGCAACATCAAGCGATCCAGAGATGAAAAGAAAGAAGAGGATTGCATCTTATAATGTTTTCACTATGGAAGGCAAGCTTAAATCTGGTGTAAGGAGCAGTTTCAAGTGGATCAAGAGCAAGTTCAGCGATGTTCGATATGGTATGTGAAAGTGAATTACATGGAAGTACATATGAATTAATCTTAATTGTGACATGGGCCGGGCTCTATTTTCTTTTTCCTTCTCTCTTCTTTTTATCCCCCGTAGGAAAGCACAACAAAGAGTGTCATGAAATCGGATTATTTGGGATCTTCTATACATGCATGTAACATATGCATGCCATGCATCTTCACCTAAGTTTGGTCTGGGGTGTACTACGTTTGATTGATGATGAAAAAGCGTTTGAGGTTTTCATTTTCCCCTTCTATACGTACGAGTATATAGTTAGATTTAATTGCCAACACCTACTACTTAATTCGTAATTATATATTTTTAGAAAGTAAATTGAAGAAACTGATAACATTGATGATAGTTTGATGTTCCATTCATTAATTTGCCAAGTCAAACTAATTTACCTGTTTTTGCTTTAAATTTTCCTTATATTTGGAGAAGCAGATGGAAGACCATATGACTGTGAGCAAACAAATTGAGAAGGCACAGCCCACTTCTTCCTGGAGAAGAGATGGGAATCTTGTATAGAGTACCCAGTTTTTTGTTAGTTGAAAATCTCGTTAATAGAACTTTTTCTTTCCCACCAATTTAAGCAAATTAATAGTAGTACGAGATAATAAATCCATTCTTTCTGAAGAGCAATCCCAAATTTAAGTTAATTACGTTTTCCTCTTACTTGGAAACGACAATCAAACTCTCTCCTCTTTATGATCATTTATGAGACTCGGGACACGAGAGCTTGAAATATACCCACCAGAATGTAAAGGCCAAAAATTAGACTTGGCATTTATTAAAAAGGTCCCAGTTTGCCTGCAAATTTTTCCACGGACGTAAGAAGCGAGCCTTGCATCTGGTCCAGCCAACGAGCCAACCTCAAAATTGCCCGTTGGAATTCAAGTCTATGCTGCCAATTTATTTTAAGCCCTACCTAAAACCATCCAGAGCCAGTAATCTAAAGAGCACCGGAGTGGAAGGCTCCCAGGTTATCATGATCACACACAACTTATTAGGTATCAGTATCTATCGCAGGAATATATATATATTTTTTTCTTATCCTCTACTCGGTGATGACAAGGAGAGGAAATGCGAAATATCTTTCCAAACTTAATAGTCCCCTCCTACCCTTTTCTTTTTTCTGCAAGAAAGTTAAAAATGTTCGCTCCACTTGCAAAAGCTGATTTGTATCGTGTCATTTTATGACTTGTTTATCCACATTTGGTATTGATAGTCATCATTTAATAAAGAAGAGTTTATTTGAATTTTTGAACATACTTGAAAGATCCAAAAAAGTTAATAATGATCACGCTCCACTATAAAAGCTGATTGTACAATCTGATTTGTATCGTGTCGTTTTATGACTTGTTAATCCATGCTTGATATTGATTGCCATCTTTTTTTTAAAAAAATTCAAGTTGGAACTTCTTTTATTTAATAATAATAATAATGAAAGAAGTATGTATATCCGATCCCGAGCTAATATTGCCCAGAAAAAAAGGAAAAAGAAAAACCTTCTTACCAAATGAATTATTGATTAACAAATTCAACAAGGGATGCAAACAAAGACTCGCGAACCTTTCGTGATTTGTTTTCAGTTTACATGCATTAGAAATTTCACCCCACCTCAATCCTTGTTTGGATCTCATTGTTTGTTTTTTTCTAATGGATCAAGCTAGAGTGATTTCGTGAAACCAATAGGCCTTTAATGACTAGTAACTCTAAAAATTCGTCTGGTCATCTATTATATCTTGATCTTTGCGTCATTCCAAGCTTTTGCGTGGTTTTTATTTTTGTTTTGTTTTGTTTTGTTTTCTAATCTCAATTAGTTTCCAAACATCTTCCAATTTTTAATTGGATCTCTAAATTAAAAATTTTCATAATTGGATTCCATTACTAGTAGACGTTCTGAACCGAATCCCCTATGCATATTAACGTTTTCAACATGTGTATGTTTTATATAATAAAAAAAATGCAATTTTAGAGAAAATTTTGTTTTTGTTTTTTTGCCTTAAAATTTGTGATAATCCTAGACAGGTGGGTGACTGAATTTAGGAAAGTTTTTGTTTAGATACTACGTTAAAAATACATACATAGTTGTAGGACTGATTTGAGGTTATCTTTCTTTTCAATCTTTTCCCATAACCTATTGTAGTATTTTCTCTCGGGTGGAGGTCTTAATCAGAGGCTCCTATTTGTTTGCCTATAAAATCTAGCCAAAACGAAATCTACGACTACAATTTTTTTTTTTTTTTTATGAATACTATAAGATTACACAAATTATATAAAGATCAAAATACAATGCACTTAATATTTCAGTTTATTCACCATCATCAATCAGTATTGGAGGTCGAAAATAGGAGTATATACATAAAGTAGACTTGTTAGATATAAGCTCGTGGTGGGTAACGTTCAATTACAGAACTTGGTGTAATATGCAGTAACGAGTTTATTTTCAACATTTCTGACCGAAAGAGAAAAAGAAATGTATGAAAGCATTCAAGATATAGGAAATGTGATCCAAAATTTTCCCGGAAAAAAAAAAACGAAGAGTTTCTGCTCGACGTAGCCTAGGTATCGACTGCATAGAGTCCTCCTGACTGCTTCCCTTGATCGATTTTTCTGAATTCTCTTGTGGAAGTAGACCTATGGACTCGATTTAATCTGTACATTTCATTGTTCACATTGTACTTGGTGCTGCCTGTTCTCGAGGCAGGTAATGGGGGCAGGTTATTGACGTTCTTGCTAGCTTTAGGATGGCCTTGTGTTTTTGGAGACATCTTCTTCTTAAAAGTTGCAACTGGGGAGAGTAACAAATTAGGTGGTGTCTCAACCAGGCGAGTCGGTTTAGTTCCAGAGGAGTTACTGCTGCTACTGCTGCTACCAGCTGGCTCTTGGCTTTGGATGACCGACTCAGCTGTCTCCTTTAGCTCCTGAGTTACCATTAGCATAATTACAGAGTTTTTTAGAAGCATGTAAGATGCAACTAGAATAATCTATTCACCAAAAGGACTTTTTTATTTTTTATTTTAAAATAGCATACGATATGAAAGATCTGTGTTTTTGCTACGAAATTTGACGCGAGCCCTATATATATAGGAATGTGGCATGCTGCAGAATGTGATAGTTTGAGAATGCAAAAGTTGAAGGGTATTTCATCCATATAAACAGGTAACTAGCCTTATCGATCCATGCTATGAATTCAATTAGTGATGTATTTCTGCCAAAACTTTTACCTCCTTAGGTTGCGCAGGATCTTCTTTTGGTTCGTCAGCTGCCAAATCTTTTTTCTTACGCTCACGATATGTTTGAGACCTTCGTTTCATTTTAGCATTCCTGCGCCTGCAAAAAAGAGGGTGATAATCAGTTATTTCAACTAAAAAAAGGGGGAAAAAGATTAAGAAAATTATGATGTTTCTGCCATCAGGCAAGCTTTTAGCCTTTTTAATTAGTCAAATACACAGTTGCGCCAGAGTGGCAATGATTATGGTAACATGATTTAGCTATTATCAGCTGCTGCCAATGATCAGAGGCACTTACTTTCTCAGTGCATCAACTTGTGTCAGCTCATCTTCATCTTTTTGGATCACCGGTAGGCCTGATAAACCGCATGGCAAAGGGCTTCTTTGAAAGAACTGCAACAAGAAAATCAAAGTTAATGTAAAGCTTAAGTACTTGTGACAAGAATTTTAGATCATTGTGCTCTCTAATCATGTCCTTACTTCATTTTCGAGAGCTGAAGATGCACAGCCACGAGATGCAGGATCCAGAGCAAGAAGAGTGGTTAACAGACCCAAAGCTGATTCAGGAAATGCGCTGAAAGCTTCAAAAAGACTAGGTTTGTAGGTTGGTGGTGGTCGAAAGGTTGTGGATAGCCTTAGCTTTTTCCAATAATCCTCCGAAGGAGTTCCACATAGTTTAAAAATCCTATGCAGCTGCTCAACCTGAGTGTTTCAGAGTTAATCATGTGAGATAACCAACGAGACTAAACGCTGTAACGAAGAACCAACCGTATTGTCCCCAAGGTTATGTTGCCCATAAATATCCAGTTCAAATTTCAGTCACGATCATAGATTTCAGTATATACCTCTGTTCTTCCTGGCATAAACGGCCTGCCTGCAAACATCTCTGCCAAGAGACATCCAGCACTCCAGAGATCAATACCAGTTCCATATTGTGTAGCACCCAGCAACAGCTCAGGAGCTCTGTACCAAAGGGTCACAACTCGGCTTGTCAGAGGTTGCTTCTGTTTAGGAGAATAATAATTTGAAAGCCCAAAATCAGCTATCTTTAGCATCCCATTTTTATCAATTAACAAGTTTGATCCTTTAATGTCTCTGTGCAAAATTCCCCTTTCATGACAGTGCTGCAGACCTGAAAGCAGTTGTTGCATATAACACTTGACCTGCATTAACAGAGATGGTGAGCTACTAAGAAACTAGCACATGACCCCTGAAGACCAAATGAGTAAATTTCTACCTGTGGTTCAGTAAGTCTTCCTTCAGGACGCGAGATTATTTTTGATAAATCAGACTGCATGAAATCAAAAACTAGATAAAGACTATACTGCATTCTTGATGTGGCCAGTCCTTCAAGCTTGACCACATTCGGATGATCCAACTTCTGTAATATCATGATCTCCCGTGCCATAAATTTCACACTCTCTGGTTCTGATGAGTCAAAGCGGACCTTCTTCAAGGCAACAATTTTCCCTGTTCCTTTATCTCGAGCTTTATACACATTGCTATACGTACCCTCTCCCACCTGCAGCCAAGCATGAGAAGATCAGGATGGGTTTGTTATCCCAATAGCAATGCACGCAGGTAACCTATCAGTAAAAATTTTGATCCATTTGTTCTCTTGGGAAGCTAAGAGAACAAAATCTAAGAATTTGAAACTCTTTATTTAGTAAATGAAATCGGAAATCGTCTTGCAACATGGAAGGATAACGAAGATTGAAGAAGAACAATTGTTTTTAACTGTTTTAAAAGCCTTTTCTTTTATTTTAATTTCTTCTCTAATTCCATCAACATTTTCTTTTGATGATAATTATGGGAGCCACTATCACACAGCAAAACCATCTCTCTAATGCAAATAACTCATCATTACAAAGAACTAGTAATCCTAATAAAGCAATACAAAGACTAACAAAAATAATAAAAGAATTCAAGAACGCTGACCTTAGCAAGCTTATCATAATTCTCAGCACTCTTAGGAGCCAAACCGGCCAAAACCTCTCTAGGAATATTATCAGTTAGCCACTTGGGCCACCCGTCTACTACCTCCTCCCCACCAAACTCCACAAATCTGTCTCTATCTGCCTCATTCAATTTCCTATCTTCGCCACCACCGGCACGACCCTCATTATATTTCTTTGTTGGTTGTTCAGGATTATAGAGGCTGCCAGAGTATCTCTGCCCAGTGGATCTTCTATGACCAGCGATATCTCCTTTTCCCTTATACCCACTTTCCATCTTGAGCTTCTCTAACCCTCCTGGTGCCGGTGATGTATTTACTGAAGACTTTCCTTGTGCGCAGCCCATGGCCTTTCTTGGTCTAGTAGCAGTACCTTTTTTCTTAAGAGAAACTAATGGTTCTGTAATGAGAAACATAGCCAAGAGAAGACCGTGTCGAAGAGAGAAGACAGGAATACATATGGTGGAGTTGACAGAGAGAGTGACGGAAGATTGGAGAAGGCGAAGAAAGAGGATTTGCCGGCCTTGGACGGCTCTTTTGGATGTTTGCCGTATGTGGAAAAAAAGGAAAGGGTCTTCTTTATTCTATTCTATGAGAACGTGAATGTTGAATTGAAGTTTCCCGGCATTCCTGCTTCTTGTTATCTCCGTTGGGAAAAAAGAAAGAAAAAGAAAAGGGGGAGAAGGTGAGGAAGATACATGTGATGAGCTCACATTTTCAACCATTTTTGGGAGGTCTGCGACTGCAATGAGATCTTTGCATATGCTTTGCTTTGGCGGGAGAAGGCCGTTTTGTGCAACTCTATGTGAATGCTGGCCATCCCTCAAACTTTGCCATAATTAATTCAAATTATCTTCTCGGTTATCCCAAAATTATGCTACAACTTTTAATAATTTTCAGGCCAACATTGCCTATTATTGATAATGAAGAACACTTAATGCGATACATTAGTTATGATTAAAAACAGAAGCAAACTCACTCTTTTTTTTCCTTCTTTTACTCAACCGGTTGTATATACAGTATGTACTTGATAGTACAAATATGCAAAACAAACATGAAAGACAGTGATTGTTTTTTAACATTGTTTTTTCTTGGTTTCTTCTTACAATTTTTTTTTTTTAGAGTAACTCTTTTTCATTATATAATAAAAAAAATAAAAATAAAATTATTAGAACTCCAATTTTTCTTCCCTAAAAAACCATAACTGTTACGTTAAAACTAAAAATAATTTTTTATGACTTTTATAATACAGACTGCTTTTTTAAAACTTGTGCAAATAAACATAAATTTAGCTTTGATATTTAAAATCTTGAAATCTAACCTCATATAGTTTTGCTCCATTTAAATAAATAAAAAAAAAGATTTTATTAGAATAAAAGAGAGGAAATCTTGAATTTAAGTCCCATTTGAAAATGAATATACAAAGAATTTAGTTTTTATTATTCATAGGTTAAAATGTGTTCTAAGGATATGCTTTATTATTATTATTTTGATAAGCAAGGATATGTTTTACTTTATTTTATTTTTTCAAATATATTAGACACCTAGATTTATTCGAATTTCTTTTATAATTAGATTTCTTTTTTTATTATTTGATTTCTATAAATTTTCCTGATTATTTTTATAATTTTTTTCTAAATGCCCATAATTAAAAAATTAATATATACAAGTATTTGCTAATTTAGCTGGAAAAATTATTTTGCATGACATTAATTAGTGGTCTAGCTAGTTATAAATCAAGTTCAAGTAAAAAAATAAAGAAAAAGAGAGAGGGTATTCCATCGGAGAAATGGAAGGGTGGCTCCTGCCCAATGTTCTCATAATAATAATAATAAAAAGAAAAATGAACAGAATTATGACCAATTGGGTTTGTCCACATCATCAAATATGGATGATATGGCCGAGATCTGTGTTGTGCTGGCACTGAAAGGGTGGCCACAGCTATTAGCACCGAGTCCCTGTCTGACAGTCTGAGTTCTGACCGTCTTTCCTTTAATGCCTTCCTTTCTACAACTACAAGCTTCAATGGTTTCTCTAGGGTTTTGACAACCCAAAAAATAATTCTCTCTGGAATTCCGCATAAAAAGGGATCTCGCTCATCATTCTCTGCGTCGTTGAGGTATCCCTTTTTTCTTCTTTTATGATTTTTCAGTGTAGTAATAGATTGTCAGCAGGAATTTGGATAAAAGTTTGATCTGTGTAAAATAATTGTTAGGATTAGGCTGTTTCTCTTTTCTTATCTATTGGGTTTTGATTGTCATTCTCATTCTTTGGAAAAAAAAAAATGAAACTTTTTTTTGCTTTTTCTTTTCTTTTCTGTTTTTGGTGCTGTATTTGTTCTTCTAGCAAGAAATGAAGCTCTTAACTCTGGTATGGTTTCGTAAGCTTGCTATGTTGAATGCTCTGTCGATGCTTTTCACGTCTCTAAAGCAAAACGTAACATTATCATTGACAGAAATGAACTGGGTATATGCTATTAATTTGAAGGGAGGTAAAGAATCTTCTAAATGAACGTTTGTGGGTTGCTGTGAAGCCGGTTTCATCTCCTTATCCAGTTGAATCTTCAGAATTTGAATATGCAGTGCTGGGTTTTTTAGCACCTGAGCTTTTACATTATTGACTGGATATAATTTTGGTTCAGCAGCCTTTCTAGCTGCATTTTTGGTACTTTCTTCATGGTAAAAATTTAGGAGATCCTAGGTCTTTGTTTGCTTGAGGAGATTTATAGTAGAAAGTTTTATTTTAACATGATACAACATAGCATTAAGCCAAGATCAGTTTGGTTAGAATCACCGTTAATAACCCGAACGTAAGAAAGATTGTTTCTTAATATCATCTTAATGATTTATTTTATAAGTAGGCTAAAACACATTGGATGTCATGATGCATTGTATTCATAACATATTAGCAGATTTTCACCTCTTATTGCAGTAAACTCCATGAATTGAAATGTGTCACTATCAACCATGGGAAGATGATTCAGCACAAAATGAAGATTATGAACAAAGTACTCGAAATAACACAGTGCATGTGAATGCAAGGTTGGAGAACCGGGTAGCAGTATTGGAGGCACGGATGGCAAATGTTGAGGCTCGAGTGGAAAGACTTGAGGCAAAGATGTTCTTTTTGGAAAAGGGAATGCGCATAGTATGTGCATTGCTTTTTGTTACTCTTGCATATGCTTTATGTAAATGAATGCTGGAGATGATCCACTCATCCACTCATCAGTCTTAGGCTTGTAGTTGTGCTGCTCTTAATGAAATATGCAGGAAATGGGTTGCATAAAATGCAGAACATTTATGCCCAGATGAAAGGTATAAAGATGACTTTCATACAATACCTAATATTCACGTAGAGTAAAAGACAGCCCCCTGGGAGGACTAAAGTCTGTAGACTGGGTACTTGTTAATATATCTGCTTATGAAGGATTTTTTCTGAATGGAAATTACAAATTATGATGTTTAGGTTATAGAACTGTAGTTGTATTAGCAAATTAACTTCTTCGCAAGCTGACATGCTACTATGCTAGCTAGTTGATCCGAGCAAGGTGCAGGGGAACCCCAGACAGCGTGCATGATGAAATTTCTCGGTCCAAATTGCTCCAAAAATTTGAAGGCAAACTTAATAACAAGACTTCAATAATCTTCTGGTGACCAGTTTAGGTGCGAGGGTTTTTCCAATGGTTCTTTATTTCGTTCTCCGAGGATCTGAAGATTGATAACTTTTGCTGGAATATGGTTCTTCTTGCTGCTAACAGAATGGGCAACAAGCAAGTTCATCTGTGTACTTAAAGCTTGCATAGAGCGTCGGTGGAGATGAAGCGAGACTCGCAACGTTTAATCTTTTCCGTGCTAGAAACCATAGGAAAAAAAAAGGGCTCTTCCTTCTGGAATCTGGATGATGACCAGATATAGTTTCCTTAGTCAGAATGTTGAAGGCTTGTTTACGAATTGCATAGAGATATATACCAGTTTTCTAAGCCAAACGGTGAATAGCTTGTTCATAGAAACCTGGAGGCTGTTCAATTATTAAAATAATGGCAGAAAGCCAAAAATTGACAGGGATGAATAACTGAACTTGAGTTGAAATTATAGCAGAGGGTTGAGAAACAGAATGTTTCCCAGTTTCACCCATCATGGTGCCCAACAGGTGGAATTTGGTTCTGCACGTTAAGCAAGGATAGGGTTCCACTTGCAAAAATTTGTCATGAAACAGCTTCTTCTTCGTGATGTATAAAAATGGATGTTTTCTATTAAGTGGTTTTAAATAGCTCTTATCTCATGGAAACATGTCGAACTAATATCAGTATCGTTAGCTCCATGTCCAAATATTGACCAAAATGAACTTATATCCTTGCAAGTCAAGTGAACAGAGAAGACCTTTTTTTTTTTTATGAATATAATAAAGTATCTATCAAAGAAGCAAATGGAAAATAGATTACTGAAGAAGTTGCAGAACAATGTATATGTTACAGCAATTACAGAAATCAAAATGTATGGGTGACTTTGAGAATCAAGAAAGCAATTGTAGAGATCAAAAGGTATCCATGGCTCTGAGATCAAGCGTGGAGTTATTCCAGATCTACTATCCCGAAATTGGAGAGAAGTATCTTTACTTGATCAACAAAGTCTGAGCCCGTTGCGTACTCTGTTAGCATTCCAACAGCAAAGCCAAACATTGCCCATCTGCTCCACCAATATCCAAAGCACAGAAATGCAAGAGGCATCAGATCAGAAAGCCACATTATGTCTCGTAAAATGTAGCTGAATGCAATCTAACTTGATCTGACGATGAAGTATTTAGGCTAGGGGCTTCGGAAATTAAGTTTAGGATACCAGACACTTGACCAACCATAAAACTTCTACACTCTTGAAATTCCTTAAATGCATGCCATGCCGGGTTCTTATCTACCCATTCTTACAAGAAAACGTTGAGCTTTAATTTTTCATGAAAAAGACATGCGAACGCATTTTCTTTTATTTGAGAAACGAGGTTTTTTTTTTTTGGTCGGCACAGGCAGTTTACAGAAACCTCATAAAGGACTCTGATGGAACTCAAAACCACATGGTGAATACATGACAATTTAAAGGGAAGAACTGGTTTTAAAGGGGGGAAAAAAACCCCTTCTCGCTTCCATAAGAAATTTTTGCAGTGGTTATAAGCTTAAGACACATCTGTGGTGCGATGGATGCCTTGCCTACCACCCTAAAATTGAACTGGTGGTAACATTGTACTGCCTTGCCTTGAGTACTATTGATCAGTGAAGCATTAAAAATCACCCAGACAGTGAACATTAGAGGCGTCACAAATTACGATGTCATAAGAAGGGCTTTATTTAAGCACTATCTAGGAAGGAAAATTTGCTGGAATTCAGAAATTAAAGAACCTAGTTATTGGAATCTATGTACCTTTACCTTTCAAAGGCTCAAGAACAATGGATCTGAAATACTTTCAGTTTTCTATTCAAACAGGCCTTCTTCCTAAACGCCAAAAATAAGTGAACACGGAGTTTCCAGTCTATCATTCCAATGTTAGACTTCTTTGTACGAACTAATTTACCCTCTAGTCTTAATAATGCAGGGCAAGGTTTTCCTGCACAAGCTCTTATTATTTGTCTTCGACAACGAAGATGACTGAAGCTAAATTTGCTTGCAGCTAATTATTCTTAAACCAAATTTAACTGGAAGAAACCATGTTATTGTTTCTCTTTTCTCTATCCGGTGATTAACGTATCATTTGGATTGGTCTAGTCATTTAACTTCACAATTAAGGACGGATAAACTTCAATTTGCAGAAACACCCACAAATCTCTCCAATTAGATTAACCTAAAACCCAGTTAGAAGACTTGCTAATTGCACATTAAAAACTACAAAAACAAAACTTATTACCTCCCATTGGCTATCTCATTCTTGCCAACGAACCCAAATAAAGGACCTTGATCTGTTTCCTCAAGCTTCTTCTGCTTAAAATATTCTTGAAGCTCCTTGGCCTTTTGTCTCTGGAACTCCAAAGTAATCACATTCTTGTCCTCCACAGGCACTGGAGAAGACGGTGAAGGGTGGACAGGCTTCACGGGAGACGATGGTGCTGCAGGCGGGGAAGGCTCTCTAACAGTAGGGGCCACAGGTCTCCTTACAGGCCCTTCAGCTTGAGAGCTCCTTATGGTCACAATATAAGGCTTTGTTGTTGGAGAAAACCTATAGTAAGAAGACGCTGAGGAGGTTGATGAAGAGGAACATGGGGAGGTGCAAGATGACGAGGAAGGGTTTGGGAGTTTGATGTATGGGATTGAGGATGCCACTGACATTTTTCCTATTCTTTCTCAATCTAAGAACTATATTTCTCTCCCTAGATTCTTCCCCTGCAGGATAATTGCTTCTTTTTCTGTGCAGAAGTGGGCTTTTTTGTTTCGTTTGGTTTAGGAGGGCTTCTGTGTATGTTAGGTGTTATCACAATCAGAAGAGAATAGGTGTGTGTGGATAAGGTGTGGCCAAGTTTCAAATGAGAGAGAGAGTGATGGTTCAAGCTAGTTGGTCCGTCGTAGTGGTGACTTTGGCGCCTAACAGCCACTCAAGCGTGTGGGATGTTACCAACCTACCCCGCTTCTCTCCATTCAGAGCACAGGATTCACTGCTTGTACAAAACGGCTCAAAGAAAAGACCCAAGCTTTGCTTGTTTACGCGTGCTCCCCCACCCAAAACTTTTGGTCATAAAACAGTCGCAAGATATGTATAGTGAATTATTTGTAAACGTTACTAAAAAGTAAAACCTTGGGCATATTGAATGGCACTTTAATCACCAATTTATTGCATTCTCTTGTTATGTCTTAATCTGATCGCACAAAGTATTTCCTTTCGGGGTTGTTCTCAGAGCACTTCAACCTATCTTCGAAAAAGTTAAAAGGAAAAAAGAAGAGAGAGAGAACAGTTCAACTTCGTTTGGAATTGCTGTGATATCTGGAAAAGCTTTCCCATAATGTCTGAAAGCTAGGATAAAATCAGAAAAGGTGAAAACTTACACGACAGAGAGCATACAAGCTGAATCCCCCATCATGCTACCAATTGGGCCAAAAATAACACGACACATTAATTAAGAGAAAACAATGGACAGGGCAATCACAAGCAACGTAACAAGAATAAGGTGACAAAACAACGTGAAGATCAGAGTAACAAAATCGAAATCCTCATCTATTGAATATGGACGCAAAAGATTAGTCCAATATGAGTGGCCAGGTATAGAACTTCTCACTAAGTCGCTATGAAAGTGTAGCCAGATGCAGAACTCCGTGCTATGGTAGCATTTCATCCGCACTCAATTACTCCTTTTCTTCACCAAAAATCAATTGATCCAGGGAGAAAGCAGATGATCTCTGTTAGTAGCAGCAATTCACGTGATGCACCATGGCATCTTGAGATAACTTGGGCGCTCAAAACTCTTTGGTAATTGATCACATAATCACACATGAACAACTTCTTTCATTTCCATTATCAAATTCATCATCTGATCCACCTGTTTCACTGCCATAAATCAAGTTTATGTTTCAGCTACATGGTCATAATGAAATATCAGCCATATAAAAAGAAAACCTAAATGAGGTAAGAGCTAGATAAGAAAGTCTTGATGAAAAAAGCTATGTTTCTGCATAATGCATGTCAAAACGCACACAAAAATCTCTATACAAAGTAATTGGACTCCTTCTTTCCTTCATACTTTAGGACCAGAAATCATAAAAACCATGTAATGTAGGAAACTGACTTGCTGACTCCAGTGGTACCCAACATTTACAGCTTTCTTCAATTGTCACTTATGCATAGGCAGGGGCAATTGTAGAAATGGATGCCTAAATCATTTTCCAATAATACATACACATAATGCCTCCCTAATATGGAAAGAACAATCTGAAGACCCATCAAACACACTTCAGTTGTGTAGAATCTGTGGATGGAAGCAAACAACAAACAAAATGACAACTATAGACACACTCCAAACAGTAGTCAGACTGACAGAAGACCTGTATAACCAATTCAAGACAGTAGAAGAAAAACAGAACCAGTGCCAAAATAGGAAAGAGGCTTGAGGTTACATTGCTAATTTGGGCTGTTAATTCTGAGAGTTGCCATTCTCAAATAGCAAGCATCCACCACGGTCACTAAAATTGTTGGGTATCAGAAAAGATCTATCTTTTGGAAAGTCTCCGAGACATACATGCAATACGATATATCATCAACATTCATTTCATGTCTTCAACTAGTTTGATCAAATGCATGGAAAGGAAATGGATTAGTCAAACAAAGCTGATTTACAGAAAGTTATGTATGATGAGAAGTAACAGTGTGCCTGGAAAGAGAGTGGAATTCAAATGCAAATGAATTAGCAAAGAACTGTGAACGAAAGGAAAAAAAAAAAAAATCAAAAGAACCAGCAAAATAAGAACCCACTACAAATGACACAATGCATCACAAGGACATGAAAAGAACTAATATAAATAACAGAAGGAATCATTCCCTGCTCTTGCTTTTGAGACTCTGCTCTGGAATGAGGACACAAAGCCTCTTCCATTACAACTACAGTCATTCGCAATCATAAACCCTTAGTGTTTTTTGATCCCAGTTTCAACATCTCCAAACACATCACATCCTTTTAAACCTCAAGCTAAGGCTCAAACTGGAAGCTGATGTTATCATATAGATTACTTGATTCCTTCAACTTGAAAGCCAAGTTTCAACCTCCACTTGTTAGTACAATATTGGCCAATGTAACTGAAAATTTTATTTGTTTCCTTATCAGGCAACCAAAATATTATTATCACTGTTTAAGATTGCGAGTAACCTGATCCTCCTAAGATTGCACTGACATCGCTGAGTCACTTTATACAAAAAGATTTAAAAATCCATATCTCATGTTAGTAATCCAACTAAAAGTCAACGAACCAAATAAAGCTTCTCAGAAGCAAGGTCCATAATTAGCACTAGGGGGAAATTAATAACAAGCATGAGAACTTATGCAGATGTAACTTGGAAATTAAAAAAGCAGTGCTACCACTAGAGGTATGCATATAACAGAGGCTTATGCCACATGCACAAGAGCACATATTAAAAAGATTCCAGAAGAGGTATCAAAATCTCCTTAGTATGCTTGAAACATGAATTATACTTAATGCAGAGCTCATAAAATCAAAATTTGGATCAAGATAAGGCGCTCCCATACCTTGGTTCAAATTCCCTGATTTCAGCAAGCTCACTCCCGCAAACATCCGTCCACTGCACTTTTCTCCTTTCGGTATAACCAGGGATATCACTACCTTTGTCATTCAATGGCTCACTCTGATTAGCATCCTCAACAGGAACTGGAATGCCTTTTGATTTCTTCTTCAGACTACTTTTAATAGTAATTTTTATTGCATTATTATCACCTTCGAGTTCAGTTGTACGATCTCTTCCCTTGTCAGCAACAAGAGGATCCGGCAAGACATCCTGCTGTTGGGCAGGGCCTACTTTGAGAGGTGACGGGGATTCAAGTCCTGCGGAAGCGCGACCAAAGCAGACAAAAGAAGCGCAGCCGCGGGAAAGCCGGTTCTTCAAGGAAGCCAGCTGGAGGTCAGAGTCAGGTTCTTGGTCCACCAACTGGTACTGATTCCACGGCGTAACTCTCATGGGTTTGTCTTCGTGCTTCTGACCCAAGAGAAGAAGGGTCAAGCCCTTGCTATACCCAGAAGCCGAAGAAGAGAAGAAACCTCCTCCTTCCACTGCCAATAACATCAGTTCTAATCATCTGGGCATCAAAATATAATTTCTGTATCGCTCCCCTCACTGCCCCCGTGCTAGTAACAAAGACACCAGCCCTTCATAGACCAATTAAATCATAGTTAGAAAGGTTGCAATCAAAACCGCATATATATACATTAAAAAAAAAAAGGCATATATTAGTAACTATGAAAATGAGAATTGTGCAGATTGTATTCACTTCCGACCTCTGAATTGTTAGATTTATCACGGCGATCTACATACGATAAATCACAAAACCACCAAAAAAAAAAAAACCAACCAAAAGTGCAAAGAAAATGGCATTAATATCAAGAGTTAGATCGCCACATCAGCAATCTGATCAAAGTTACAAAAGCCACATTTAATACGAAGTCATCAAACAAACATGGTCAACCCGAATTTTGACCATTAAAAATGTCTGTCAATCATGAAATGCTTATAAAAAAACACGACTTGAATGCGTCCCAAACAGGATTGGGAAACAAAATATAGCACCACAAACAAAAAAAGCGCTGCGTTTTTAATCATTGATTAACAATAAATGCAAAATTAAGATAGTTTTTTTTTAGCAGTTGATCTAAACTCAATACCAAAAATAAAAAAATTGAAGGATACCATCACCAATAAGCACAAAATTTCCAAAAGCCAGTAAAGGTAAAAAAAAAACTTATTTTTGTTAAAGATCTGTTTAACGAAAGAAAGAGTCTAACATGCATCGCTTCACTTCACACTTACTCCTTCAAAGGATAAAAAAGCTCAGAGCAAAACAAGAGCAATTCAGCTACCGATTTTACTCACTTTTTGGTTGAAACAAAGTGGATATTTCCTTTCTTTTTTTTTCTCGGGAACCAAACAGAAAATCTTTGAGTACCTGAAAGCGACGCGATAGATCTGCGAGAGAATCTGGTGGACTAAAACGGCGGCGCCGGCATGTCGGATCCAATAAATCGGCGAGGAATTGGAGAAACAGTGTACACAGCAGGTAAATAAAATGAGAAATATAGTTATTAGTGGGTGGAAAATAAAATGAGAAAAAGAAAAGAAAGAAAGATTGGGTTTACTCCTGGTCCGAATTATTTAAAAGGTGGATAGGGATTGTGACTCCATGGCGCATGATAGCGATTGGGCCCAGCTTCATTTTCTTTATTATTATTATTATTATTATAACTGTCTGTTTATTTTATTTTATTGTGGAGTATTGATTATTTTGCTCTTGCTTTCGTGAAAGGTGAGCAAGTAATGCAGATAAAGAGAAAGCTTGCTTTTGTTTTCTTGCCCTCCTTGTGCCTGCCTATCTATCGATGGCTGCTTTCTTTTAACAAGTCTACTCAACTCTTTAATTACTTATCTGATTAATTAATTAACTGATTGATAGTCTTCGTTGTACTTGCATCTGTCTATATCTCCCTTTTACTGCTTTAGCTTTACAGAGGTAATTAAATTACTATTATTATTTTTAGATAATTTCATTACAAACACATTAATTTTTAATCTTTTCTCAATCAAATAGACAATTTTTTTTCGCTTCATTATTTAAATTGTGAATCAAATATATTTTATTTATTTTTTATCAATTGTTTTATTATCTGACCTTGTGTTTTTTGTTACTATTAAATTATAATTTTATTTTTAAATTTATGAAAAAAAATTATTTCTAAATTATTTTGTCATTTCCTTCTTTTTATATGGTAAATACTTAAATTGTCTTTATATTCAAAAAGTTAAAAAATAATAAAATAATTTGAAATGTAAAGTTTTTTTCAAGAATAAAAGGACAAAATCATAATTTAATAGTTTAAAGAAAATGGCAAGACGTCATATAACAAATCAATTAATAGAACTTAGACATAATTACTTGATTAACAATTTTTTTAAAAAATTCGTATACTGAAAAAAATAAATTAAAATTCACGTATTGGGTTGAAAAAATGCTAATTGATGTACTTATAGTACAATTATTCAGTAACTAATTTTATTTCTCAATTAAGTTGAATTGTTATTAATGTCTTCGGGAGCAAACACAAGAAACCCTTAACGAAAAAAAAGAAAAAAAAGACCGACATCGTTTTAATTTATTGGTTAAATTGCATGAACTCTGATTTGGTTTTTGAAAGCAATCTTTTAACTACCAAGGATATGACCTACAACTATTGGTAATGGATCAACAAAGAAGACCATTTTGTTTATGGAATCTGCTTTACTTATCAAGTTCCATAACAAAGCAGTATAAGATGTTACTCATCAAGTTCCATTCCAAAGTAGTATATAATGTTGAGGAATTGCATAATTTCTCTTTGTATTTTCTTTCTATATGCCATTTGAGTTTTTTTTTTTTTTTTTTCATGGAAAAAACAAAGCTTTAAATAAAAGATTAGCTATTACATAACGTGAGAGAGACCACTCCACAAATGTCCTCTAAAAAGAGGCTGATGCACTCTAATGGAACATGATCCAAATTCTAAACGAGAGGATGTAAGCATGAGAAACAAACCAATTGATCATTCCATCGGTTTTTCTATAAATGTGATCGATACGAACTTGTCATTGTTATCGAAGAAGTTTATAAATCAACATAACTAACCGGATATAATTTCCATGATGACCCTCTGAATATGAAAGTAGATGGACTGCCGTCATGTAGTCCGTTTCCAAAAGAATGTTTTTATATCTTTTTTTTTATAATGCAGGTGTCCGGATCAACCTATGCATCTCTCGACTAATCCTACGAGTCTCGAAGTTAACAATCACGTAAGTCTCAAGTGACCATCAAGAGGAGCAATCGGGATTCGAACCCGAGACCACGAAGAAGCAAACCTTTTGATACCAAATCTTTGCTGCTGCGCCACCCTAGTGGTTCCCATATCTTAAATTCCAACCAACATACCTCAAAGCTCCGCACACGAAAAAAAAAAACAAGGTCCTATTGATATGAGAAGCCATATAATCAGGTACTTGCTGCATCTCTAAGAATGCCACCAGCAATAGGAATACTCATTGAATTACGTATGGCACCATCAGTATTAAGTTTTACCACATCTAGACTAGAATTTCTTGCTTCGAAGGTTTCGATTTCTCTAGGCTTGATACCATATCTCTGCTAGCAACAATATGATTAATGAAAGCATACACAACCTCAATAAGCTTGTTGGGTCCGACAAAACTATCTTCAAAGATAAATTTGTTTTTCCAAGACCAAAGGTACCAGCAAACAACTCCAAGCCAAGTGCTCCAAGAAACATCTTTCGAACTAGGCAATTGAGTCTTGGCTAGGTTAGACCATAACCATTCTTGTAAATCAAGTGTAAGGAAATGGTCAATAAACTTATCCCCCCCCCCAATGTCAATCCACATTGTTGCTGCCACGGGAGCATCCCCTAGAACGTGGGTGATGGTTTCAGGACTGTACTGGCAGTGGGTACAAAGAGTATCAGATGAAAGTCCCTTTCCATTCTCTGGTCATTTGTTAACAGTTGACCCAGCATTGCAAGCCACAAAAGGAGCGAATTCTCTAGGGTCCTTGCCACTGCCAAATCATCAGTTTCCAGCCGTTTGTTGTGCAATTTCCACCCGAAGACAAGAATTGGTAAGCAGACTAGTAGATAAAATGCCATTACTTGTATGGGACCAGTATGGCGTGTCCTCTTCGTGGTTGTCAACTGGAGGAGGGACGCCAGCTATCTTCAAGGCAACTGAACTGAATTGGGTCATTTCATTTCATGTGATTTCACCGAATTGTTGTGAAATGGTAACAAGAGTTACAAAGAGCGGAAAAGCAAAGCATTGAATTGTGTTTCGTTCATTTATTAGTACGCAATACGCAAGGGAGGAGGAGAATGAAACGACAGTTCTGTTAGCCTATTTCGAATAAAATGAACTAAGCCAGGTGCGGAAGGGAAGCCGGAAGTTGTGATGGCTAGGAATTCTGTATTAGATCTATCATCTCATTCTGAAGTCAAGTAAGGGGTTCTAGTTCAGAGGCTGGGTTTAATAAATCTAGAGTTTACACGACTGAGAGTGTCATTTTATAATCTACAAATGAAAAAAAGGAAGTTGAAAATGTTCCACGTTGTTTAATAGGACCTAGGTGGCTGGGTTTCTTATTATTGTCTTCTTATTTTTTTCCTTTCGTACAAACCAAGGTTGTTATATTTAATAAAATCATCTCGATCCTTTTAAGGAAAAAAAGGAATGAAACAAATGCAAATTAACTTGTCCTGTAACGCTGATCACTTGACTAAGTAAATAGGCCAAAAAAAAAAAAACAATGATCAATTGGGATTTTCTCAATTCATCTCACAAAGGAACACAAGAATTTCATGTGAGTGATCATTGGGGAAAAGAGAACGAGATGAAGGGACTGTGGGATTTTTATGTACAAAGAATTCCTCACGTAAATATCAAAAGCGATTAACGTTTGTTAACTGTCTAACCTTACAACAAAGACTAAGACAGGAAGTAGATGGCGATGATCCACTGCCAATGATGATTCAGTGACATTACAAAGATGATATCGGGACAGGTGATGAGAGCCATCAGATGAGAAAAGTCTACGCAGCCAGTGAGATCAGCTAAATCTCAACTTATGGAGACTTTTTTTATTTTATTTTACTGAGAGTATATAGACTATGGCGGAATACGAGTAACCTTCTACTTAAAAATCATCATTTTACTTCCAATTGAGTAACAGAGTCAAAGTGACTTCACATGAATATTCAAGTCCCTTGGAAGCTTATTTTGGTTGATAAATAAATTTGGTATTTGAGTTGTTATACAGGATTCAAATCCTAAGAAAACCATAAAAAAATTAAGATGAAATGCATCGATACAGATACTGATGATTGATAAAAATCTTAAAAAGACCATCAAATTTTGTGATAAAATTCATCAATCCAGATATTGATGATTTAAAAAAGATTTACAAAATTTTACACAGATAGTTATTATGATGACTACTTCGTGTTGGATGATGAGTTTTCCACATCGGCACACCTCCTCAAAATTTTGAATTGAGGTGCCGTTTTCCACCCCTTCAAGTTTCTCGAAGAACAATTTACTTCCTTTTTTTCTTTTTGTATAAATACCATAAGACCCAGCCCAATATAGACGGACTTGAAGTAGTAAATTGTTATTTCTTTAATTAAACACTAGTGATAAATTGTTTGAATTTGTCAAGTTTGGCTGGTCAGATTAATTAATTCTCTTCAAACCCAACGTTGTTACGCTGACAAATTTCTACACCATCAAACTACCTAAGAGCTATTTGTCCAACTTCCGCGCAGAAGCAGACATAAGGGGGAGAAAACAATATCAGGTTTATTAATCAGAATGACATAGAGAAAGGAGTTATGAAGTGTATAGCATTAGTATATTCACGAGTCTACAAATATTGTCTTCGATGATCCATTAAGAAATTATTCAATTTTTCCGGTGTGTGCAAAATGATATTTTGTGGCTGCGGTGTGGAAATAAGTTGGACTTCAGAAAAAGACATTTGTAAAGAAAAAAATGAATTGAAAAAAATATTTAGTTATATATCTAGCCTATCTAGGTGAAAACAAATTTATTTACAATGAAGATGTCTAGAAAAATGATTAAAAAGAACAACATATAAAGAAAAGTTGAATTGGAAAAATCACTTTTTGAAGGTTATGTTTGTAACTTCACGTAAGACAATAACAATCAATTTCCTCTCTCTTTTTTAAACGCATTACTTTTGCGAAACCAATGATTTGACCACAGTTTTTATTGAGTTCCACGTAAATTTTTATGTTACCGAACATAAAAGTGCGGATGGGGAATAAACGAGCTTCTTTAACGTGCATGAGTTAATTCAAAAATATTATATTGTCTTAAATAACATTTTTATTACATTATATGTTGGAAGAAAAAAGATTACAATAGTAAATAAATGAGCCCATAAGCCAATCGATGTTATTAAATGATCTGTATAGTGACCAAATCAACTCATGGATCATTCATTGGTGGGATTTTTGGGTTGTTCGTAATGAAATATGTTTGCATTTTCCTATATGAATAAGAATGAAGAAATAGTAAATGAATAATTTTTAAAAAATAGAAATACTAAATTCAAATTCTACTAGCTATAATATTTTTAATTAAAAAATAAAATATAAAATTTATTTTTGATAATACTATCTACATATTCATAGCTAATCATAATCCTTTTATATATATATATTCTCAAGAATATCATAATCCAAACATCTTAATTAATCACTTATTGTTCGATGAGATACATAAGACAAACATAATTATTTTTAAAAAATTTATATTTAAAAACTCAAATAAAAACTATTGGCTTAAGCTACTCTTGAATTATAATTTTTTTATTCCTATCTGTCCTTTTCTGTTCTTATTTGGCTAGGAAATCTTCCTCTTTCCAGTTCATCCTTTTTTTTACCACTAACAGCTCAAGGCAACATCATTTTTCATACAAGAAATGAAGTAGCTGTACCTTAAACTAGATACAGTATAATTTAATGAGGGTTTTGACGTGCTTTGCCTATTCAAACAAAGTAGTACACAAGAAAACCATTGAAAACGTGACCTTCTCTTGCTTCAAGGATTTAATGATCACGGTTGTACCGTAGCAGTTCTCAAGTTTATTATTACCTGAAATAATAAAGGTTCGATGGGTTGCGCAAAAAGCAGTGCAGCCACCCCTCAAAGCAAAAACATTGTCACTTTAATGCATGGGTGAGGACCACCAACTTTATCAGAAATAAACTTGTAACTTCCAAAGAAATGCTGAATTCCTGTGAAAGGGAAATGTGACTGTCATGCATAATCATCAAAGAAAAAATGGTGTGTTTGTGTCTATATATATATATATATATATATATATATAAAGGCAGTAAATTAATGGACCACGAGTTAAACTTCTCATGTAGGGTGTAACGCCCTATAAAAGCTTTGGCCAATCATTTAGATTCCACTCCGGTATGGAGGGGACGAGGACTGTTTCTACAATAACTTTTTTGGTTCTTTATTCGATCTCATGTTTGGGACAAGATTTTTAGTCTTTTGAAATGGACATAAGTAATGAACCTTAGATCGACGATGCTTGCTTGATAAATTAAGCAGCTAGGGAAACGAAAGATGTACAAATTATGAACAACTAGCTAGCCTCTTTTGGGTTTCCAAACTTGGATATGTCTCATTGGATTAGATCCTCTCTAGGGCCTTAAATTGTCAATAATAGGTCACACAGCAATAGTACGTAGTAATTTCTCTTTCCAGACCAAGATGTCTTTCTTCATTGATTCTATCTCTAGTGGTTATGCTACAATGTGACAATGAATGATCTATTCATTAAGTTTCCTTTCGCACCAAAAATTCATTCAATCTGGACTATAAACTATAAAGGGTCGGTGTCTCTGGGCCATACAAACAAAACTTTATCCTAAAATGCAAATATCCCAACTTGAATCAGATTAGTCAAATATGGATTCCTCATATAATTCCACTCTTAAAAATGGATTGATCAATAAGATTTTTTTTTCTATGAATAACAGGAGAAGAAACTTGTAGCCTCGGAGTTTTCCAATAATCTTCACCGAGACACTTTTAGCCTCTTGTTCCCCACTTATTCCATTTTCTTTATGACAGTGGCCATGTTATTCTTTTTACAGGTTCGTTTCTTTAAGGTAAAAACATCCATAATCTAGCATTTCTAGATATTCGACCAGATTCCTTTCTTTGCAATGTCAAAAGGTTTTGCTCCTGTATATACGTAAAAGAAATGCCCTGAAACCAATTTTATCAATTGTGAACATAGTTTACATAATTAGTAGCCATATTATTTTTTTTTCCCTATTTCCTATCTTTTCCTAGTCCCTTTCATAGTTTTCATCAATATCTATAAGGTAATTTCTCCTTTTCCTTTTCTATAAGCTAATTGACTCCTATTAATACTAAACCACATATAAAAAGAGACCATAGAAATCCAAAAAGTAGTATGTTTATAAGGTGTCTTAAGAATTACAATATTTATTATTATAAATCAATTAGGTGAAATCGTATAAATCACTCTAATTAATAGAAAATTATGTATAATTATGTTAAAAAATAAGACTTAAAAGATATCATGTGTAATTTTGCTTGGAATTTTTTTTTTTTTAATGTGATTGAGAATATATGAACAAATTCAGTTATGTTAAAAATCTTTAAATAATAATTGACAGATTTTTATATTTTTACTTGTAAGGTATTTAGTTTGTCTCTTACATCTAAGACTAGGACTGCATTTTCATATACATATGAAGATGGGATAGATGTGATTAACGCCTGGAATATAGATATGATAAACTTTATAGGAAATGCGTGCTTGTCACCTGCGCACTCAAAAACATAATTCTAGACCAGCATGCTAATGGCAATTCAAACACTACAGTAAACTTTTAAGCATGGACAAATATATATATATATATATATATGCCTTTGTTAGTGCCACCTTTGAAGATGCAATGGTGGTTGTGATAATTGTTAGAAGACAATCTTGTTGGATCAATGATTGAGGGAGTGGTCAAAAAGTTCTGTTGTATTTCTCTCTCTTCATCCATCTTCCCAAATGTTTAGATCAAATTGAAGTCTCCTAAAGTGATATGTAAATGTGCTTTTGGCCAAAAAAGACAGAGTTGTGGGTCACATAACCAACAATACCTTTATCAACTGCCGAGGAGTCCAGGAATTACAGAGGTATAACGATACTGAGGAAACAGAAACATCAATCATTTTGTAATGTAAGGTTAACAAGTTGCATGGGATTCTCTAATGTAAGAACTGATTTTGAGAATGAGTAATGCTGGTAGGTAAGCTGCGTAGTCATTTCTTGTCAAGCCAATGCAAGAAGAGACTGGAGCATGTGGGATTGGAATGGCTTCGGATCCCATGATCATTGTCTGGTATAAGATTACAAATAGCTCCTGACACGTCTGCTCAAGCAGCTTAGCTGCTACTCTGGCAATAATCAGAAGGTTCATATCTTCTTCCACTACGTTATTTCTTTCTTTGTTTCTTGGGGATGGAACAAAATACAATTCAAGGCATTATAGAAGCTTGAAATATGTAGGTTGGGGACTAGCTAGAACATCAACGAGTTTTAGTTTACAATAATTGGCAATTCTAATGATTAAGGTTAGGTGCAAGGTACCTTGTAATGCTGGTGTTGAAGGCATAAACGAACGGCCGAAGTTCCTGGCCATCTCATAATCCAAGGACCAATCAAACCAGATGATTTTACATCCAGTGCAATATGGAATCATCGGGAAAAATTGCAGTATAAAACCAGTTAATGCCAAAGTCTGATTTTTCACTCTTTCACTAACATATGGATGTGGACTTTTCCAAGCTAGCTTCTTTCTTTCGTCTAAAAATTTCCAACTACTTGAAGCAATCCATCATGGCACAAACTAAATAATTCACAACCTTTTCTTTTCTGTTCCTACATAACTCCCTGACGGTATCAATGCTTGCTTTCGGAGAGCACATACTCAAAAAGTGAAAACTACACTTGCAGAAATGATCATTTGCAAACACATCCTAATAAACCAGAACATCATGAAGAATAAAACGATAGAAGACAATGCAACAGCTAAGGCCAATTTATAAGTAGTATTATCAATTCAACAAAGCACTTTACATAAGACATAAACCAACATTATAAAAACCCAACAAAAAAGATAAAATGATAGGTTATGGTGCTCATCGTATATGCATTCTGCTCCATGAGAGCTCACCCACTAAGCTTTCCTTCTTCACACGCTGCAACAAGTTTAACAGCATCATGCAATTATTCTTGTAAGGAGTAACCATTTCCATCTGCTTTCTTCCTGAAGAGAACCGCAATAACCAAAACAGCAACATAAGTGCAACAGCCATCCAAGTCCTTTAACCAAAGCATGGAAAGAAGCTTGCAGGACCTGCTATCTTAGATATCCATGGAGGAATCATTGGAACTGGGAGGATTAGGATCCCTATTATGGTGCTGAAGAAAGTTGGGCTCATTGTTGCGGGTTCCATTTCCTGATGGTGAACCACCAGGTGGACAGTAGCCTCCCTGAGCAATGTGATAGTTCTGGAGACTCCTGCGAATGGGGCTTGACAAAGCATTTGAGAAAACTGTATTCTTGGGTTGTTGATCACAGTGTTCAGTGCGAGTGCCCTGAGCAGTAGCTGTTACACCAGACGAGCCCGAAGAAACCAGAAAGGTGGAATTTGTGAATGGAATAGGTTGGGAATTCTGATGTTGATGTGGCGTTCTAGGCGACATTGATGGTTCTTCTCCACAATAGTCCAGTTCATTCTGCATCAAGACCACAGCATTTCTCAGTTTTAGATAATATCAAGTTATTATCAATACACAGACAAGAAATTTCACTTCATTTTAGTTCTCAACTAAACAATATGGATCAGTCAAATATCTAACAGAGAGCAGTCTTACTCACTCATAATGCACAGAGACACGTGCAAAACCAAAATATAAGCCAAAAAAGAAAACTTAAATAAATAAATAAACCAAGCCTATCAGGCTTGCATCAATATTCATTAGATAGTCATGTAGAGAAACATCTCTGTTTACACGTTCAGTTGACTGGAATGTGATTAATATTAATTGACAATCGAGTTAATCAAATCCTCTTTTTATATTGCAAACAAAGCTCAAATAAAAAGGTTTACAGTGTTCAGGTGACTACAGCATGATTAATTTTTAAACGACATCAAATGAATAAAATTATGTTACATGCAGCCTTGGCAAATAAAGCCTCTAGCATGTGTGCATGCCTATGAGTCTCACACAGATGGAAACCCAAACTCCAATCTCCAAAGTAGCAGGAGAATAGTCCTGAGGTATTATAAAACAGGTAAACCACATTCCAGATTAAATGCAAACCATGCTTGGAGTTTAGCTTTAGCTTTAACATACAATCATGATGGCTTTTGAATGTCTTCCATCAAAGAGGACAGCCAACTCATTAGATGCATCATTAGCTCTACCCAAAAGAGCCCCAGCTTGCAGTAGCAAATTATAACCAGCACAGCTCTTTATCCTCAAACAAAGAATAGGTTTTTGGTGCCAATTGCAACAAGATCTTATTTGCATCCACAATATCCCTGTTTTTAATGAAATTTTCCTGATATTTTGCGATTTGGTAATGTAGCACTGTATCCAGCTGTGTTAAGGAGAGATGTCTTCTAGAGCAGGAAAACAAATGAGGATTTATGGCTCTCATACAAGACAAATTTCCGTTTTGGTGCATCATGTTTTATTTATTGTTATTGTTGGCCTCATCCTAGTTATAGAATAGTCCATATACTAGCCATATCTCCTATACCGAGGAAAAGAAAAATGAAAGGCGATTACTAGACACGTCTTAGAAACTCAAAAATTATTTTTCATCTTAATGTACTACAGGAGATGTAAAATTACAGTGCTGTATATGAAGATGTTCTCAGTATCACAATGAACAATTAATTCAAAAAGAATATCACTCTGATCTTTATACAGATATATCATAATCTAACTGTTTCATAACTAAGGAATTGCTAAAAACACAGGAAGCAAGCACATGTGCATGTTGGATATGTCAGTACACATACACAAATGGTAGATTGTAATAAATCAGGTAAGAAGAATAACTGACACCAACCTGTATGTAATTGATTATATCAACTGTTGCCACTCGAGATCCTCCCTCTTGTTGTCGCCAAATCCATTGATAAAGCTTTTCCTGAAAACAATATGATGAGGCTAAATCACCAAAACATCATTCGAAAAGAGAACTAAGCATGCAAAACATCAATAAAGTTCAGTAGATAAGTCTGATTGAGAGGATATATGTCATGTGACAGGTTAAATGGTATTCACCAAGCAATAATCTTCCAATCTGAAAGCTAAAAGCATCAAAAGAACAAGAGCATCGCCAAGAACGTGTGTTCTGGGTTATTCCATAGACTCTAATGAAAGAAAAGTTGTATTAAGAGTGAGTGAGTGTGTTGTGTGCATGTATTGGTAATGATACAAAATTTATATATTCTTCATTTTAGAGTTTCTCCATCCCACTGTCTTCTTTACTCTGCATGTGGAGAAAAGAGCAATAGGCTAGTTTCGAAAAGAAGTTGATTGTTTTTAATGTCATCGGCACTTATTTTGTGAAATTTTTGTGAAACTTCATGCTGAACTTAATAGACAATCTTAAAGTTGAAGAGAACAAAACAGATTTAAATGCAAAACCACAACTGACTGAACAATTGCCCTACAAATCATTTTCACAATCAGCCAGTAAGTTTAATCCATATGGTTTAACATGAAACACGCTGATCCAATCTCAAACATAACAAAGCTTCTTAGTTTTGAACTAACACCACCACTAAGCACCATAACCACTCTCAAATAAGGAATACCTGTCTCTAGACTACTTCATAGCTTGTTCCTTGTCGACATTCTTAGTAAATGTCTTAATTATGCCAAAGCATATCTGGATTTAATGAGTTATATAAATAAAACCAACAAAAAATTGGTTCAAGGGCTCATACTCCACAACTTGAAAGATGCATAAAAATGAGGAAACGGCCCCAGACGCAAGAGAATGCAATGATAAAAGAAGATGTATGGCCATCATGGGGAAAAGTAAGTGATCTTAATGTCTGCCTAGAATCAACACAGAACGCCTACCGAATGATCAATGCAGAAAAATAAACAACCTTTAATGGCTTTTATGATAAATCCATAATACTCCTCTAATGAGTTGGTGCTTAATCAAATTGATGTAGGTGATCCCATTCCCTGAACTTAGTAGCATCCAGCCTCATGATTTAGTTATCGGAAAAAGATTTTGAATTTCCACAAGAAAAGTAGAAAGGTTGCACCTTAAAAACACGCTTAAAAAGGCAAAGTACAAAATGAAAACTATAACAAAGAGTTCTTTCAGCTTCAAATATCTGTGTTTCTTTGATACGATTACCTTATACCACCATTAAGCTTCATCCCACATAAATTATGGTCCACATATTCTCTTCTAGCTCCTCCATAATCGTTCAATGAGTAACCATCATCCAAGATTTTGCGAAAACATGTTCAATCTTTGGGCCAAAGCCAATCTATAAGAACTCCATTTTTCAGCTTCTCCAATCTTCCCAATACAGACAAGTTCAAGCCCAACTAGACTTAACTTTCCTTTTAACTTCCAGATTACTGAAAAGTATTCTCTTTGACACCCATTGATCCAAAATTACAGGAATATGTTGTTTGCTCTAGTCCTTATGCTAGCATTCTAACCGTTCCATCCTCTTAATCGATTAGAAAACAAATTCCCTAAAATTATCTATTTTCTCTTGTCAAAGTATGAACCAACATTTCATTTGTCTCACTCATATAAATCAAATTCAAAATGGCAGTTTCAGAAAAGCAACTCTTTTTCCATATCAAAGTGTCACACAATACAACCACTTAGAAACAAAGATGACCTTCTCCACCACCAATTAAGCTAGCTATGCTCTTGTATCACTATTTACAATTAAAACTATCAGGATTTTACAAGCTTACTTATAGGTTCACAACAAACCTCTTGCAGTTATGAGTGCTACACAGCCATTTGCAATTTCTCCAAAGAGATGAAAAGAATCTCAAAGGACGGATGAGAAAATTCATAATCCAAGAGCCAAAACACTCCAACAACTCCAATTTAAAAGTTAAAGTCCCTTCAAAGATTAAAAATTTTCCACGGCAATCCACTCAACATTCTATTGTTTCTCCACCACATAGTAACCAAATAATCAAATAACCAAATCCCGCTTGCTAATGGTTAAAAAATTGATGCTTTGATCAATCTACCTCCTCAGCAGTCAATTACAATGGCAATCTATTATCACCATTCAAGGCACAAGCCAATCAGAAACAAGTAAAAAGCAAAGTACTTTGTTCAGTTGTAATGATAATTAACAACACCAAATTAACAAAAACTAAACTACCATACCATAACTCCAATGCGAATCCATTAACAAACCGCATAATGTATTTATCTAGCCATTAAACTAAACAAATCACTCAGAATAAAACAACCCATGTAAGTTTGCGACAACAATCGAAAGGGTAACCTTTAAACTACACTAACAATTAAAAAAAAAAAACAAAAAACTCAGCGACCCAATATAGGGGAATAAAAAAGACACAAGCTTGATCAAAACAATAACTTTTTTCCATAAAGAAAAACAACCCCACCAAAAACATACACACAAAACAAACAGACATTCCATAAATCAAAAAGATAAAGGAGGGAATCTTACTAGGCCATGACGTTCACCGGCTTGGAAGGAGAGCTTTTGGTGGTTCATAGACTGTGTATAAAGCTGAGACAAAGAGTTTGCAGCACTGCAAAACGACGCGTACATGGTCCGATCCACCTCGTCCAGGCTTGTTGCTATGGATTTTCTCTTTTTTCCCATCGTTAATAACAGTTAGTTAATTAATTAGATTTTAATTTACAGAGGTAGATTGATTTTACAAAGAGTTTAACAGGCTTGTAGGGTTTGTTTTTATTTTTTTTCTAATAAGGAAAGATAAATGGAAAGGGGCTGGTCTTTCTTTTTCTCTCTAGAGAAGAAGAAAATGTGGTGGTTTTATTATGTGGAAATGGGATGAGCAAAAGAAAACAAAAAAGCAAGTGTTTTTGAGAGAGGAAAAGGTTGTATTGTAAGGATGGTGGGTGGTGGTGACACAGTACGCGGACCTCTCTGCCCTATGTTTTGCACTTAGTCCCTTTACATACCATCTCCTCCTGCCTTTTTTACCATGCCTCACAAGGATTCGAAAACCTTTTTTTTTTTTTTTTTCCTTTTTTATTCGAAGCCAAATACATCTTGGGCTATAAAATATAAAGTAGTCTAGTTTTATATATATATATATATATATATTTTTTTTTTATTTTATATTAGAGATAAGATTAATCATATTTAAAAAAATAATAAAATTTAATTTTTTTTAATAAGTATGGTTTTAATTTAAAAACCAATTCATTTATTGTTAAAACTTAAAAAAATTATATTCCATCCCAAACATACTGAAATGACGTAAGTGTGATTTATTAAAGATATTACACAATTTTATTTGGGTTATGCGTAAAAACTCTTCAATCCTCCAAATGCCTATTGATGATTTTTATAATTCTCAAAAAAAATTAAATAAAAAATTATTGATGATTTTTACCCAACTCTATTAAATAGTTGACAAACAAAAAAACCTTTATAAGACTATAGGTCGCAACATTATGAACATCACACTTTTTTATGATTTTATTTGAGATTTTATTTATTATATTTTTTTAAAAAAAAACTTCCATAACAACTTACAAAATAATAAATAGTGTATAAATAATGAGGTAATTAAAATTATAAAATAGTATTTGAGTGTAGTATGTGCTGTATGGTTAAAAGCATGATGTCAGTTAAAACTTTATCGACTTTTGGAGCAAAATCACAAAAGAGTAATTTTTATAAATTTTTTAATTAAATATAAATGGTGTATTTTTAAGTGAATCAGAGAGACGATTTTAAACTCTAATGTGTTTGAACTAACCCAAAATACCATATAATTGTAAAAATAAATCGCTATTTTGTTTTTCTTTTTTTCCTTTTGATTTGTTTCGGTTATCTTTCAGCTTCGTTTACCTTACTATCATAATTAACATAATTAACAATCTCCAATAAAACTTCGGTCCGACGGTGTGACACTTATGGTTGAGGTACTGAGGTACATATCCAAATTCAAATCCTCCTACCATGAATAGTTAATAAAAAAACGTTAGCATCATTGTGATGTGAGAAATTATTGAAGTGAAAATAATAGAATACAACGTCATTAGAATTTTCAAATTTGAGAATTATTATGTTTTCTTTATTTATTTTTTTTTACAAATTATCACGGTGGTTCAGAATTACGTTAACAAAAGTTTATTGTATCGAACTCATAGAGATTAGCAATGAATATCATACCCAAAATTTCCAAGGCAAACGATCGAGAGAGATACTGACAACATCATTTTTTATGTGCTTGTCATTTTGGATGAAGTTCAGAAGAGAGAGACTAGTGGTTGATTCTCAAGGTGAAATGGAGACTTTAAAGTAGAAAACTCTGAAAAAAACTTCAATTTCTATTTCAATGCGCTTCAAGTTAGTTGGCTACTTGACTAGATTTAGTGTGTTCACATAGGATAAAATTTGTTATTTTGACTATTTACCTAATTTCTGGTCCAAAAGGAAGAAATAAAAGGACTGCACCAATTATTACAGCAAGTGAAACATGCTATAACATATAAAACGGCCCAAAAAGAACACAAAAAATATTGATTCTTAACGAGAGATAGTTAGAGGGGTCAAAAGAAAAAATTCAAGAGTTGAAGGATTGCTATTAACAAAAAGTTCGAGCACCGTCCCTTTTAACCCTCAGGGTTTGTTCAGCCACGTTGTGAAATGATAAATTATACCGAAACCCGTGAATCATTACTGGACTAGCTTTAAAAAGAAATAACAAAGCGGTTTCGGTCGGATTTTCAGTTCAAGATCGAAAACTCAAGGTTAGTTTTTATTAACCCTAAAAACTTTTTATCTAGTGAAAATAAATATGCAAAGAAAAATAAGGGAAATGATTACTTGACGCAAGAAAGTTAAGTCAAGAAAGAAAACAATTAGTTTGAAATCAAGTGAACGATAATGTAATCACAAAAAAATTTCTTTCCCATTTGACTTGAATAAATTACTATTAAAAATATTCGTGAGACAGATGAAAAATTTGCAGGGAGCCTAATCCTATCCAAAAACATCCCTTTCCCTGATAGGATCCAATACAAATAAAGTAAATAAGAATTACAGAATCAAGAAGAAAATAATTAGAATTGAATGGCAAGGTTTTCTAATCTCAAATGACTAACAAGTTCCTGGAATTAGCTACCCTCGTATGCTTAACTTATACTACATAAACGCTTATACGTTCTCATCATGTTCATTGGGTTCTGATAAATTACTTTGTCTTTGTTGTCTGCTGATAGGTAGCGAGAGGCTCCTGCGCTCCTTTCCTCCAGGCTTAGACGAGGCATTGCCATACCAAATCATTCCAACTACAGCTATGATCATGCCCAGAACCACATGTAGATTAAGACCATCTTTTCCAAAGAAAAAGAATCCCATGACCAGCACAAGGATCGTCTTCATATGACCAAGTACCTGAAAGGACACAGCTGTGAATCTGCCAATGCAGATGAACTGGCTTAAGTTGGTCCCTACTGCAATGGTGCATGATAGAGCAATAAACATCTGCAGGAACCAAGATCCAGAGAGAAATGTGAGATGGAATTCTGTAAACTCAGGTAAGAAAAAATTGATCGCACACACAAACAGAAGCAATTAGTTAAAAGTAAAAAATTGTCCTTGGCCTTTTATAATCAAATAGAAGGCATGCATGCATAACAATATTATGCAAAGCAATACTTCTACGTGAAAATGGAACAGCAAACATAAAAGGAGGAGTTGATGCAAACAGGAACCCATACAAATAAGCAGCGGTATAACTTGCATGTGAGATTTAGAGTCGTCATCAGACTTGCTTGCAGAAAATAGAGAGGTCAAGCTAATATTATACTTTAGAGTACAGCCATAGACTGGAGGAAATTTTCACAGCACAAATCAGGGTTGTTTTTCCCTTACTGCTTAACTTTTCTTGTTAAGAAAATCCATGCAATTAGCTTTTTAGGTACTAATTGCATCCATATTAACTGCATAGAAACCTGATAATTTTTCTGCTGAGAAAGGAAAATAATCAAAACTTGCAAATTGGATGCCTAAATTATAAATCCCAACTTAGCCAAATCATTACCTCATTCGCCAATATTCAAATTGGAGTTTCCAAGGCAAAAGCTTGTTCAGGCTCAAATGAAACCATGGACAAACATATATAGACATATGGAGATCAGAATGATGGGCCACAGCCATAAGCATGCAGACAACTAGAAATACAGATGCAGCTATATGACATGTTCATGTGATTCCTGAGCAAACATGTGGCAAGAAAAAAGTGAGATACTTTACAGCATGCATAATAATCTGGAAGAATGACAAATGTATCAAGATAAATGCATCCAGATTATCCCTAAATTATGAAGATGACAATATATATATATAAAACAGAGTCAAATTTTGCTGAATTCTTACCAAGGAGGCCGCATTATAGTCATAGGTGTCAATTCTTTGGTTTGTCAACCAGTAGTCCAAAAAGGGGCCTAATAAAAGCAGAGTTGCAGCCTGCGCTGGAGCAGTATGACCCAATAGGTTGAAAGAGCTTAGTGAATACTTCCTTTGGAGGTAATGTACATACTGCAAAAAAATGATTCCACAGAGTTATAAGAGGAGCCGCTTCCGGATGGTATATACTACTTTAGAGAACTGGATTAGATAACTTCACAATTACAATGATTAAACTTCTTTAAATTGAAATGTAATAGGATAAAACATATGCAAATAAATTGATGTTCGTAAACACTTACATACTGTTGCAGAGAAGTGCTCCAAACTGCAATGAGGGCAGCAACGAATCCTTTGGCATTAACACTCACATCAGTGACAGTGCAAACACCAACACCCAAGAGAACAACTCCTATACTCAGCTTCGTGTCTCGTGAGTACCGAATCTTGTCAAACAACACCTCCAACAGGCAGGATACAGGAATCATACTCAGCTTCGCAATCTGACAGTTAAAACAAGCATGTGAGTGACATTGTTGCAATAATTAGCGACTAAAAGACAGCATAACAATTGTTTACCTGATAAAATCCCACTGAATTCCACATTAGACTAACATTCATTCCAACAATTGAGAAGTTTGCAAAGAAAACAAATTTCAAAAGCTCAGAGAAGGGTAGATGAGAAGCTTGGATGTATCCCAACCACCTCAAAACACCAGTCATCAAGGTCGTAGTAACAAAATGCATACCGGTTAGTGTCGTAGCTGCAAGAAACCATAAAAAAGAAATGCCAAACCATAAGCCTCATGGATGCATAAAAAAACATGAGAAAATAAGAGAAACAAACTCACCATAAGTAAAACCGTAAGTAGCCATCAAGGCTTTATTGACAATAATAATCCCAACAGAAGTGACAACATTGAACATCCAGGCAGCTGCATCGGCAGCTCCCTTTTATCAGCCTTGCTAGATGGAGCCATCGTAATTTACTTCTCAAAACTTCATTTTGAAAACCCTTTAAACACTTATCCTTCCGCCTCCAAAAATAATCCCATCCACATCACAATGAGCAACGAACTGCTCTGAAAACATCAACACTGAAACTAATAAATCAAAGTGCCATAAATTTCAAGTATGGATAGAAACCAAAATTATGCTTAGCACATGTGTTGCCGAACATTTACATAGAGTTTAATTAGATTAGCCTACGAATTTTTAAGGAACTATTATAAAGATTGATGTTTATTTTGGACAACAGTTGTCGATTTCCACAATAAATTATGGTTTAACTGAAATCTGACTAAAACCAGTTCTCAATCTCCTTAACAGAATAAAAGTCATAATCAAACAATTATCAGATCAAATCATAAAAGGCAGATCTCATCTCAGATCAATCATAACAAGCTACGAAAATTCTAAAATTCAGATCTGCATTGCGTTAATATTTTTAGGATCGCAACAGAATTCAACAATTACTACAACAGATCTCAATTTCTATAAAATCAGTTGATCCGTCTAAAAGATTACAAAATTGAAGTAATTTTTTTTTAAGAAAATGACGGTGTCAGAAGAAATGTACGTACCGTACAGAGGAAAGCAAGGAAGTTGAGCTCAAGAACTGGAACGAGGAGACGGAAAGGAGGACGTTAATGAGTCTCAAATGATATGCGTTTCAAGGAATTTGCGGTTTTTTTGGTACTATAATGTTTTATGGTTGTTTGCTGTTTTTTTCTTCTTTCTTTTCAAAGGAGTCCTGATTTGGAGTGAGAGACAAGGGAAGAGAGGAACGTAAAATGCTGTTCCGAAATGCAAGAGTCATGAGGATGGGAATAATATTTAGCAGAGACTGTAGGCAATAAGACAAGCCAGCAAATCATAAACCGACTTTCTTTTTCTGCACACACCTATTGCTCCCAAACCAATTCACTCTTCAATTTATACTTTTGTTTTTCTCTTTTTTTATGGACCATCAGTTACATGAGTAAATTATAAACCTGTCCCTCTGGTTTCAAAAAACGAATTAATTAATTTTAAAAAAAATTAATTATTTAATCCTTATATTTTTAAATCTGTGTATAACTTAATCATTTTTATATTTATTTATTTTAATTTTTTTTTAAGAAATAAAAAAAGAAAAAATATGTGAAAAAAATTAAAGTATTGATGAGAAAAAAGACATTTTATAAAATAAAAATAATATTAAATTAAGTATATTCAATACTGTTAAAAAATTAAATCCTTTTTTTTTTAAAGGACTAATTAATTTGTTTCTTAGAATTAAAGAGACTAATTTATAATTTACTCCCAATTACAAGGCTATGCTCTCCTCTTTTAACATGGTTGGAATATCCAAAGAGTTTATAAGAAAATAATTTTTATTAATTTAGATGATGGAAAAATGTTTAAAATCCCAACATTCCTGCTTAAAAAAAAGGTTGGTCATTGGAATGACAATCCAAAATTTTAAAGCATAATGAAGGAAAATAGAGCTTTCTTCAATTATTATTAATCGACCATTTGCATCTTTGCTGGTCCAAGCAAGTTCCATCTTTGTCAGCCAGTTTTTAGTGAGCTGGTCCAACCATTTTTACGTTAGTCGATCCTTTACGTGACTTACCTGGTCTAGCATTTTAAGGCATAAATAGTATATCTCCACCATCCTTCGACCCTTTTGAGCACGTCTAGTGACCCCATCAAATGGGGTTGGTGTTTCCTACCTCGGCAATTCTCTTGTCACAAGCGTCTGATGCCCTGAAGAAGCTAAACGGTATATATATGTAACAATTTGAAACGTTCTCCTTCAATTTTTGCTTGGCACCCTTACATGTATCTTCTAGCTTTATGCTTTAAAAAGCTTCTCTAGATTTCGATTTTTTAGCACACTTTGTTCTTGAGCTTTTGGAGAAAAAAGCCCAAAAGGCCAAGTTAGGAATTTAATGTCATGACCATGCTAGTTGGGATGTTTTTTTAAACCAATTTAAACAGATCAAATTCATCAACGGACAGCCGCAGGCGGTGAATCTCGACCTAAAAAGTGGATCTCCATCCATATTGCAGGATGGGCTGATCTCTAAACCAATTGAGACAGACCAAATTCTCTACTGGACAACAGAACACAGGCGAGGAGCTCCAGATCTCGACCTAAAATGTCGATCTCTATCTTTAGAGGACCAAAAACAAAAAAGATTCATGCGCGCCTTTCGATTAGAAGGCCACAAATGCCCTTCCTTCGTGTAAAATAACACTCGAAAATCGCGTCCATAGAACGCCCAAAAAAGAATGAATATCCCAAAAATGGCTCAAAAAATACCATAAATAAAAGAGCAGCTTATACAGACAAGAAACAAAAAAATAAAATCTTCAAAGAGATGCCAAGTGAAAGCATTAATAAGAACGACAGCTGATTCAAGTAGATAAGGGGTTCACAAAAATAAAAATCCTTCCAATCTAACAAAATCACTCCTCTAAACGTGTGCGCTGCAAACATTAGTTATACCAAAAGGAACCAGTACCACCAAGCCATATATAAAATTTGTGCAATGATGCAAAAAATATGCTTTAACGCTTCTTAGAGACACCAACTGTCTTTCCACGGCGGCCAGTAGTCTTAGTGTGCTGCCCCCTGACACGAAGACCCCAGTAGTGCCTCAGACCACGGTGGTTCCTGCATGAAAAGGTCCATATCAGACGGCAGGATTATGTTTCACCGATAGTATCATCAAGGCCATTTACAGGCTCATGTTACCATTTTTTTTTTTTTTACCTAAGCCTTTAGCAAAGATGCATTTCTGAAGAGAAAATTACACGAGTTGTATCACAGCTATTAGTTAGTAACACTTAAAATGAGCTGGGAGCATACAAATGGTGAAAAGCTAATAAATAGCAAAAAAAGATAATTTCAGATCTAAGTGGCAAAAGAAGCTAGTGGTAATGTGAATGAGAAGATAATTTCATTAATCCAAACACAGCTTAAAATATGTTCAATAAATGCACTTGATACCAGAAGATTAGTTTATGAATACACAGAAAACAAGAAACTACCTGATCTTCTTCAAACGCTCCAAATCATCTCTCAACTTCATGTCCAGTGCATTTGAAACAACCTGAGAATACTTCCCATCTTTGTAATCCTTCTGCCTATTCAAGAACCAGTCAGGAATTTTGAACTGGCGAGGATTTGCAACAATAGTCATGAGGTTATCCAACTCTGCTGCAGATAATTCACCAGCCCTGAGAATAATGAAAACAATTAAATTAGTTTCTGAAAAAAAAAAGGATACTTTAACCAATCACGACTTATTGCACAAATTAAAAAATCAACCAAAATCTGAAGAGAATTTTGGAAAGGCCCAACAATTAATTTATTCTCTCTCGCTTTGAATCAGCAATGCCAAATGGTCCCAGAATAATCATCATGGATTCGAAAGCAACACATTTTTATTTCCTTTTGGGTAAGTAAATATGAAAGAATTGTACCTTTCTTTTTACAAGGGAGCACTTCCAACATGAAATTCTATAAAACTATAAGCCTGAGAAACATATGGAAACTGATTCATCCTAAAAAAAAGATGCACCCAACTATAAGTGGTGATAAGGAAACTTTATTTTAGTAATAAAACAAGGGTTTAAATCCAATCAATGTAATTACACTTGCCGATTAAAAGGAACCTTGTACTAAAAAAATCAATTTAATTAACATTAAATGAAAGAATTTCCCCAAACAATTAGCTACTATGTGGTTAAAAATCGAAGCGACAAAAAATAAATAAATAAAATAAAATAAAAAACAATGCTACAGAAAGACGGGGAGCGAAACCTCTTGTTCATGTCAACATCGGCCTTCTTGCAAACAATGTTAGCGAAACGCCTCCCAATACCTTTGATTGATGTCAAAGCAAACATTATCTTTTGTTTCCCATCTACATTCGTGTTCAGTACACGCAAAATGTGCTGAAAATCCTCGTTAGCCACCAGAGACTGCTTTTACACACACAACCCACATACGACAACATCGATCAATTACAAAACATCGACATCTTAAATCAAATATAATACATGTGCATATCGCTAATCTAGTAATGAACTTCATTTACATAAAAATGAGATTTTGGAGTCAGGTATTGAAACCATAGTTTACCATTTTGTGTTTTCGAGAGAGGATAGGCTCTGGGGCGGGGCACGAGAAGCTCGAATAGTTGCAGAGAGAGAGAGAGAGAGTGAGGCGAAAGAGCGAACGAGGGTTTTTACTAAAAGGTTATAGGGTTTTGTTTCTTGAAAAGACGATTTTACCCACCCTAATTTTTCTATTTGGTTTAAAAAAATTTTTTTAAAAAAAAACTTCATGGCCAACTCCCTAAGTTATAAATTAATCCCTCTCATTTCGAAAAAAAAATTAATTAGTCCTTTTAGTTTCAAAATCTAATTATTTAGTCTTTTTATTATTTTTAATTTATTATTTTAAGAAATAAAAAAGAAAAAATAAGTAAAAATTATGGAAATATTAATGAAAAGAGGTTAAATTTTATAAAATAGAATTTAAATTAATCATGATTAACAATGATTAAAAAAATTAAATAATTAAATTTTGAAACTTGAGGGACTAATTAATTTATTTCTCAAAAAGAGAGGGACTAATCCCTGAATTTTTTTCTTTTTGCTTGCACCCTTTTTTTAATATTTAAATTTGGGTCCAATTATTATAACCCATACAGTAACAGCCTTTAGCTGCAACCCATTAAATCCTAGTCCTACCAAATAGGGGCGGACGGTAGATCAGGGCGGGTAGTATTATTATTGTTGTTATTATTATTTTAACATATTAGAAAACAGAGCTTAGTTATCCAGATTACTGACTTAGAGTTCAATAAGAAAAAAGATCTTACAGTATCTGAACGAATTTAAAGCTCGTCACCTACAAACTGCATAATTCACATGGTTTCTACAAAATAAAATTTTAATTTAATATATCAGGAAAAAAATTTCCGTGCTTACACTTACCCACTTTTCTCTCATCGGAATACACAAAATTTCTCAAATTTTGATTACGTACGCTCTTGCATGAGGATGCATGTAGAGACATAAAATAGGACTCCTTTAATTTGTTCTTGCTTTATTTTGGTACAATTGAAGTAACTTGACGTTTTTTTATGCCTGATACATGCAAGGTAAGAAACAAACGAGATTGGTCCGTTCTGTTTCTGTTCCTGCTCCTGGTTGTTTTGAGTTTCGCTGGCTCTTTGGGTATGAGAATTTTATTCCTTCAGTCTTTACGCCCTAGTTTCTGCTTCGAATTGGAGCAGGGCCATTTCTTTGAAGGCCATGTCTTAGTTCAGACTTCTGAGCAAAACCAACGACAAGTGTGCTCTTATTCTTGCAACAGGCGACAAAAATAACAAGAGCAGTGAATTGGAAAATAAAATAAAGAATCAAATTATGGTAACTTGAATGAAAACTGAAGCCTTCTGCTATATACCAATCTGTTGAAGGAAACCATTTAATAGTGGAACCAACAATGTTAAGCTTTGGCAGGTGACAAAAATATCTAACCTGAACTAGATATCATCAAGCACAACACAAGATTTTGTCATGGCCATGTTGACTGGTTTGGTTTCACTATACACTGTTATCCCTCAGGTTTTAAACCTAGAACAAAGGGAGTTAATTTTCTGGGCTTCCGAACCTTCAATCAAATTAACATGGTCTACTTATATCTGCATGTCTCACTCATGAAAAGCATAATGATAAACCTGAAATGGTTGCCAACAGCTAATCGATGTCAAATGGAAATATTACAGCCTAACTCCTTGGCAACGGTATTAAGATAATGAATGGGCAATCCCGTCGCAAGTCGGCTATGAGCTTCCCAAGTTAGGCACTTTTCTATATCAGCTTGCCAGTCGATGATGTCTGGGCTGAAATATTGGTAAGGGGGTCCATGGATTCCATTCGTGTCTGTATGGTTAGAAGTGGGTTTTATTGAACCAGTATGCTGAATATCACGAAGAACAGATGTGCTCAGGGCACGGACATGAGCACTTGGATGAGAAAGGCATCGGATGGTAGCTGGTAGACGACACTGCATAAATTGGCCCAAAATTCCAATGAGCAAGTGCCATATTTTCTTGCTAACTGCCACTGAATATTACAGTGCCCCACTTCATAGCTTACAAGTAAACATGCTCATGTGTGTGTGTGTGTGTGTGCACATGCAACCTTCATGCTAAATGAAATTGGATGTGTCAACAGGATATATTCACCTTTAAGAGGTTTGAAAGGCCATCTGCAACTGCAAATCCAGACTCTCCCCACTGCAGCACTGGCTGAACAGCTCTAGCCGTTGCTTCCAGTAGCTGCCAAATTGAAGATCGAAAGTTTAGCCACACTGAATATTGAATACGTTTCTTTTTTTTCTTTTTTTTTTTTTTTGACAAAGGACTACTGACTACACTTGAAATGCCATAAGCCTTCAGTCAATATAATTCTGATATCTAATTTCTTCTGGGAAGAAGGTCATGGAACATTACAAAGAGTAGGTCACACATTCCAATGTCGAGAAAATCTTCTTTGGTAAGTTACCTCAAGCTGTGGTAAAGTGCAAGCTTCTCCATCAACAAGCATTCCATCTGTTGCGCGTAGAAGTAGATCTGATGCACTTGACAAAATTACCAATGATTCTGGGGTATCATGATTTCTCATCAGCTCAGCGATCAACTTGATGATGCGCTGGTTGATTCTCCACATCTTCTGACCTAGATCATCATCTTTGGCAATCCAAGGTTGCAATTCCCTCTCGGCCTAACAAGAACACAGGCCATGAAAATGAGTAAACAGATGAAGCAATTGAATCTAAGAGGAAATCAATACAGAACCCCAAAGAAAAAAGAGATGCTAACTTGAACACCCAACAGGCAACACCTCAACATTTGGGATCAGAACAATTGCAGGAACTATTTAACCATTTTTTGGACCTTTCCATTTTTCAGGTGAGTATGTTTTGTACCATGAAGAAAGGTAGGTTTGTATTGCTCTATTGCGAAGGTGGTGGCACCTTTGGAAAAAATAGGTGGTTTCAAAATGACTGGTCAAACAACAAAAGGTAAACAATTTCATTTTACAGCATAAGTACAAGTAAAACAAATTTAGACCTGAAGAACAACTGCTGTAGCTGCTTTTGTTGGAGATGCCGATACAACATTGCACAGTGCGTCAACAACCTAAATACATAATGACAAGTTGTTAGAGGAAGCATCTATCATAGAAAATCTTGAGAATTCAGACAAAATACAGCCCAAATGATCTATTGAATCCATTTCCCCACAACTGGGTAGCGACACATGCATCCCAGTCAGATATGCTAAAAACTTTTTAAGTTTCCATTTTTTATGTTTATATAAAATAAATTATTTTCAATTTGAAGGAAAAGTGATAAGAACATGGAATATTACCTGTCTCCATCCTTGTTGAGCAGAAGTGCTTTCTGCACTTGGTTGAGTTTCAGGTGATGCAATTAATTTGTGCCACAACAGAGAAACAACAGAGAAACATAACTCTTGCTTCTCTGGAAGCACTGATCTCAATAGAACTTGTGCACTGCAATTGAATCCAATATGCCTGTCCTTCGTTAAGAAATTGGCCAAATCTGAAGCATCTAATGGGAATCCCGCAATACGTCTTCCTGAGGTGCTTCCAGAGCCTTCTTCTGACTGCAATACTCTCTCACATTTAATTTTAGTTTCTGAATGAACTAATTCTTCAGGCTGCAGGGCAGATGATTGCCCTGAATTAAAGAAGGCATTGCTTGCACTTCTATTTCGCTTGTTACTATCAAAACACGTGACCGAAGCTTTCCGAAATGGTGCATGCAAGTGTGCTCCTAATGGCTCAGCCTTGTTAACTATGGATGCAACAACCTTGCGGTGAATATCAATGAGGTTATAAAGTGAGGATGCCCTGGTGTAAATTTCATTATCCCACTTGCATCGCATCAAAACAGAGAGCGCATGCATGCACGCCTTTGAACGTCTAAATAGTTCAGAAACATGAGCTGCAACCATAGCTGCAGCTACTATCTCATTTGAACTATAACTCCAAGATGTGCCAATAGAAGACGGTTTCAGAGAAAATAGAGCCTCCAAAATTGCTAAAATTCTCCGAGTGTGCTGGATTGCAGATTCGAGACTAGTTTGGAACTCGCTAACAGATCCATTTAGTTTTACAGGCTTGGCTAGAGTCTCTGTGTGTTTTGAAGTTGAATGATTACTCCCCCTAGAAACAAAGGGGAATATTTGAAGCTCACAGGCCAGTGCACATACAGCAGCCAGAACATAAGAATCAAATGCTGCAACTGGACCTTGTTTCTTCATCCTTCTAGATTTCATGTTTCTTGGCATTTCGGATGTTGATTGTGAGTCCTCTTTGCCATCCTCAGGTGGATTGTTTTCTTCACCTCTTGGTCTCTTGCTACCATTGGAATGAGCTTCATGACTGACACACACAGTTAATACGACAAATAGCAGTCGTGATGCAAGCTCTACAGAGGCACATGATTCTAGAAAGAGAGAGTGAACCATTGTACGAAGCTCCGCCACAGCAAGGTTTTTGGAGGCAGGCCCTAAGCTAGAAAGATATCGTGTCTTTCTGGTCTGTTCTCTAGAAGACTCTGGTGGAAATGTTCTCTTAAGGATTGCTTCCACGGTAGCAACAAAGATCTTCATGAGGCATGCTTCGGAAGGACTTCCACGAGGAAGATATTCCAGGACCTTAAGGAGAGGTATATACAGATTCCATGACAACATTGGAGGTTGCAAAGGTGTTGCAACTATGATGTCAGGAAGATCAACTGCCGAGGAACTTAAAGGAATCAGACCATAAGCAGCTTCCCAAATGGTACAAATTCTCCATTCAACCTCAGGTCCATGGGCACAAAGCATAGATGCAATTCCCTGGGCAGTTGCTTCAATAGTTGCTTCAGCTGCAGGCACTTCTATCTGGTACCATGTTTGCAATTAAGTAAAGCAGACAATTAAGTGCTTTTCATAGATTAAATCACAAGTCAAAACTGACATTTCAACAACAAAAATTTGTATTACCTGCTTCCTGTAGCATGCAATATAACCACCCAAAGGCTCATGTTGAACTTCCACCCCTTCAACTTGCCTTAGTGGAGGAAAAAGCAATGCAGGCTGTGAGAGGATACGGAAAAGTAAAGCTGCTGCAGCATCAGCTGCTATACCTGCTCTCATGGACATTGCAGTCCCTATTGCACGCAAGAAATGCAAGTGCATCCAGTTCCTGGGAAGCTGCATAAATGAACACCAAAAATAAGAAGAAAGAAATGGAAAACGCTAAAAGAAACTAGACAGCCATAGGCAGGCCATAGAAACTAGTTGATTACAAATATGATTTCCCGAGTAAAATCCACTTCTTTTGGGTTAGAGAAAGCTCCCTTTTGATGGAAATAAGGGAAGTAATCACAACCAGAGAAACAGAGAGGGGTAACAAAAGGACTCTAGAAGTACAAAGTGTTTTTATTTTGTTTTCATTGATAAGTTATTTCAGAAGACTTCAGAAAAGGGGAACAGTTATCTTTCATGGCTTTGCACAAGCTAAGTACAAAGGACAGAAAAGCTGATTTTTTATTATAGGTTTTCTCTTTTGCATTCTATTGGAGGATTACTTATTTGCCTTGCTGTAAATACTCTTCTCTCTCTCTTAATATTACATTTAAAAAAAAAAAAGAACTAAAAAACTAATATATTCCGCATGTGTAATCTCTCCAATGAGAAAATTGATATCCTCTCCAGACAAAACCATATGTAAACTAGCAAAAAGACTTTTAACTAGGTGATAAGAAATCCATATAAAGCATAATTGGTTGCAAAGGCAAACATACTCCAGAACAAGATTAGAAGGTAAGGGATACACTTGGAACGGGACAATTAAATGTCAGCAATCAAAACTATATAATTTACCCTTATGCCAGATGCATAATCTTCAGCAGCTCGAAGGAGTTCCACAAGTTGTACAGCAGCATCAAGTGCATCTGGAGCCCATGATGGTGGTGCTTCGAGAAGGCCAAGAAGAAGTCGTTGAGTTGCACTTGGAGTTGCAATGGCGTAATACCTTACCCAGAACAGAACACATTTAACAAACACTAATAAGTAGAATGATTCAACCTAGTAAAAATTAAGATTGCCAAACTTGTCGGCAGAAGACTTGCGTCCTACTGTCTTTGAGACCTCTATGGTCAGTTATATGCTAGTCTCAACTTTTATTTATATAGTTTTTTGTCATGCTAACACTCAAACATTGATAAAGATAAAATGATCAATAAATATACAAGAAAACATGAAAAGGCACACAAAAAACTGTCCTTACAATTAAAAAACATGTCATGTATTTGAGTTCCTAGATGATACAATGACCACATTCAAGTTAATCAAATACAAATGTAGAATCAGCAAATTTTTTTTATAGCCATGTAGTCAGAAAGTTACCGGTGAAATAAACGTGCATATGGCTCAAGAGCAGGTAGCCCAGCAACTAGATGCTCATCCAAAGCTGTTGTTGGAGGGGGAGTAAAAGTGCAGGAACAGCAGCTGCAGTTAATGTAGCAGTTTCATAACGAGCAACTTCCTCATCGCACACGCTTAATATAACCCCAGCACCATTTGCTACAGCCCACCTTGGAGTTGATGGCATGAGCTGAGGATGCTTTCCAGAGCCGCGAGAATAAGCTAACAAAATACAAAAGCGAGAATAAGCTAACAAAATACAAAAGAAAATCAGTCGACAGTGATATTTGTCTCGGTGTAGATGGCAATGTTATTCTTGTCAATTATGCAATAAAACTTAAATAGCTCTCAACCATATTGTACGTTCATACTTACAACCACAATGCAATCATTAGGAAATCAATGTTTCAGGGAAGCAACAACTTGTGCCTACTACTAAATGAAGGATTATGCATGCAGAGGTCGTTCTAGACCTTCAGATTGAAAGGAATTCTGACAACGGAAACAGTGCAAAGACAGTTCTTTTCTTTGCCTTTGGTAACACTTTTCAAACATTGCTGATTGTTTTATGGACAATTTGATAATGCAGCGTTGAACATACTTGTCAAGACTATCAGACTTGGAGACAACGCTATCAAAGTAAAACATTAATCATTTTGGTCAAAAAAAAAAATCACAGGAAAACCACATGTACTCTTCACTTTTCTCAACATGTTCCAGAGAAAGAAATATTATCATGCGAGCGCATCATCTCGCTATTTGTCTTTAGACACCAATAATGTCTTCCACTATCTTATATTCATCCTCACCATTGCAAAAAATAATAGATCGGCATGCATTTTACATGTAACTTATACAGCTCAACTATACTCGTCAACTTCAAATGCATTAATAAATGATCTTCATTCTCTTTATCCAATTTAGATGCTCAAATTCAGAATCCAGATATTCCTTTGAATGTGATGTTTGCCATCCAGTAGCTTAATTGCCTCTACATTACTACAAACTTTTCTAGTAAACTCCCTGTCATGGAAACCAGACCTCGCCTATAACACTTGCAAACTTTTCTAGTAAATCTCCTTAACATCGTAATTTCACCTCATCATGCAGTAGACATCCAAGAATATTCAAAAATCAAACTTGAAACCATAATATGAAATATAATTAGATTCTAGAAGAAAAAAATCTACATGCTATATTTCTAGAAAAAGGTTAACTCACTGGTTGTTGGTGGCTTGAGCTCTCCAGCTGCATATTTACCCATAACACCACTGCACCTGAAAATGCATGATAACATTTGAGATTAAGGGAATCCTCGCAACAAGAAGTTGACAAGAAGTAATCATGATTCATATTCCATGACAAGTTCACTACACATTACCAAAACTTTGCTTAAATTTTGAAACAGAGAATCTCGCAGAACCAAACTTGCCAATGCAACATTGAGTGTTGTTAGAACATTATATATATATATATATATATTAACTCCCACACCTAAGTCTCCTACCAGAACTAGTCTGCTAGGATTTGAACCCATGATCTCTTGCACGAGACCAATATCACTGGGCTACAAGCTCTTTGGTGTTAGGAAATATATATAATTCATTGTATTCTGTGACAAATTAACTACGCATTTCTACCAAAATGAACTCTCTATGCTTAAGATTTGAATGGGGAAAAAATAGCAAGACCAACAGTGCCAATGAAACAGGTGACATTCCATGATCCCCCACTCACCGCCGATTTCTGATGTCATCATCATTGGATCCACACTTCCATGTGTAGTCCCCCCATGTTATAGTGCCGCTAGAGTAGCCATCCATATAATTTTAAGATCATTCTAGTACACATCATGTGTAGGATGGTGAAAAGATCTTTTCCAAACCAGCCTTATTCTTCTATATTATGTTTGAGGAACAAAAATCATCCAACCATCGATGCAAGTTTGCCAGCTTCGATATCTTTAGTTTCAAATCAGAATGCAGTTCCAGATAGTCAATATCTAGTTTCTGCAAACCATGAAAAAGTTCATGTCCCCTTTTTGCTAAGAAAGGAGTAAATTACTTTCTACTTCCACAGTGTAGTTCTCCTTTGATTTAACTAACTTTCTTCAGATGTTCATCACAATGTCCATTCTGATCTAGGATATTTTTTATGTTTAGTTTCAAACTCGAGGACTTGTTATTAGGAAAATAAATGTGCAGTAGTACTGACATTATTTCCCATGCCAAATTACCCTGACCTTTCTAGTTCAGGACAGAGGAGTTGCAAAACATTGAGCAGGTGAGAAAGGACAGGGAAGATTATCCCACTAAAACTTAAAATATGCAGTATAGTCCAATTTTAGAATTAATCGTAAAGAAATCATGCCATATTTTTACTTTTCCTGTCACGTTGATTACTTGCAAACCAAAAAAAAAAAAGAGTTACTCCAAATAAAATATTGCACTCACCAACGGAAGTAGTCACTTCTAATACCCAGAGGTGCAGCAAGTAATATGTCAGTGATCCAGGGAGACAGAGGCCTGAAAGTTTTCCTCTCTTGTTGTACCAAAGGTATGTTGGAGGATTTCCCTTCTGCTGATTCACTACTTGTAGAACGGCTGTCACTACTGCTTCTGTCTGTTTCACTATCCTGTTGCTCCATCTTGTATATTGGGCGATTGTAATGAGTTAAAATCCGCAAAATCTCTCCACATGCCAGCGCCCATTGTTCTGAATATTCATTCTGTACAAGAATCAAAAGATGTGTCATAAATATGAAGCTTCTTTTCAAACCATGCAGCAATTGCATGCTGGAAACAAAATAGAAAAATTAAAGACAAATGTATAACTTCTGATAATGAAACATGAAGCAGATATTATTGTTTTGTGAAAGAGAGAAGAATGGGAAAATCTTACTTTAGAGATAGATGGAGAGAGAGAGAGAGAGAGAGAGATGAAAAGTAGGTTAATGGGTTGGCATTACATACCTCACTGCCAGGGCAGACTAAGGAAATGAAAGAGGCAAACGGAGGGCTGCTCCGATCATAAACTAGTGCACCATCTATAATACATGAAATAATTGGAAGAACAACAGCATGGCCATGCTCCGGATGATGAAGGACAAATGTAGCTGGGAATTGACAAAAACATGCAAATCAGTACTACTGCAGCAACCAATTATTGATATGATAATGAGTGCAATTAATTCTTTTATAGATTAGCATAGGCGAAAATCATTACCCAAAACATCATCAAATAGGCGTTTGTCCTTTGATGGATAACGATTGCGGATCAACTGTCAAAACCATATCCATATCCACAACCAATATATGTTATCAACGTCATGAAATGTAAGTCTCTATAGAATTCAGTATTCATACCATATGAACAAGAAAGACTGTCTCGGAGAGAAAGTATACCTCAGCAATATCATCAGGAAACTGTTCCGATGTGCACTGCCCAAAGTAATCAACATAGGCAGTAATTTGTGCCTGCAGAGAAGAAATATCATAAAGAAACATGTGGATCCATTCTTGTAGGAAACGGACTTCAATGGAAAGAAATGTCAAAGCCAGAAGGCAAATTAGTAAATGCACACAAGAGTAATTTCAAAAACAAAGATAAGATGCAGATGGGTCATTTTCCAAGTCAAATGAACATATTCAATGCTATAACCATTAAAGTAAATGAGATGACCGAGAAACAAAATTGAAAATAAAAGTTCTCCCTTCTAACCCAAAAGTCTTGACTGTAAATACTTAGATGATGTTTAATGGCTTTCCACAAGTGCTCGTTCCGTGATCTCTGTTTGATGTCCTAAAAGGCAAACTCTCATAACGTCTAAAGGATGGAAAGAGAGGAGGACAAAAAGGGTAAAGTGGAAGGGTGCAGAGGAGAAGGATCGAAATTAACCACCCAAATTAGGCAGATTGCAAAGTACATGTCAGCTAGATAGGAGAGATCCTTCCTTTCCTTTATAGGGTTTCATCCACTCAACCAAACAGAGAAGCATCTCATCTCCGCTCGCCCCATCCATCCATCCATCCATCCTCCCTCTCAGGCAAGTAGAGCTGTGGGCAATAAATATCCAAAATTGAAGAATGCTGTCTAAAAATCTAACTACTCTGAGCAGTTAGCACCATTTCAGCTGACAGTACCTTTCCTCATAAATAGATTCAGTATTTCCTTTGAGTAACAATACATAAAATTTCCTGATACCACATTATAATTTTCACTTCTTCCAATGCAAAGACCTAATTAAACAGTAATGCCCAGATAAAAAGAGAGAGAGAGCCTTGAAGAAAGAGTATTCATTATTTGATCACAGCGTAATTGACATTGGCCAGAAACAATGGAAAAGTATGAGGTTTTTACTTAGAAATGACAACAACATTTTCAACAATTTCATTTGTGTTTTTAGATTTGCTTCAACTTCCACGTTTCTCATATCCTTGAGAGCGATAGCAATATTAATGCCATCCATGATATACCTATTTGCAAAAAATTTAAACCAGTTGCAACAATATTTGAAAGTTTGACCTGAGTCGGCAAGGAATTTGATCCAGTATTAGAAATTATTGTATTAGAAATGTTATGCAAATTGAATTAATAAAAAGTTACACAACGTAAAATACAAAATCAAGCTTCTGCTCGCTAAAACTCAATTATTTATGCATAATGATAGCTGGAAAATTGAGATATTAAAAAAATTCCAGTTTAATAAAGATATTGCAGCAAAGCCAGTCTTCATATGGCATACTACTACTGACTAACAAAGGAGCAGTTGATTGATCCACAAACATGAAATAAATGTGTCCTCTAATTAACACAATCAGTCTAGAAACTGTGTTCCATGTTAATATCTACATTCCAGGCGGAAGAAATTTGAAGATTCTTCGCATCAAGTCTAGTCTGAATTTTTATGATAATAAGAAGAACTAAAATAGAAAATAAAAAAGTGAAAATAATTAAAATTGAAAAGAAGAAGCATGCAGTACACATCAGAATCCGTTAACTACGGCAGAAAAGAAATAAAATGCTTCAAGATTGCTAAAAAGAAAAAGGAAGAAAAGTTAAGAGAAAATCTTTCAACTGACCTTTCTTTGTTGGGCATCTTGAGGAGGCGGCCAGTATAATGAAGAGAATTGAAGACCATCAATCCACCTCTCAGAAGAAGAACTAGCCATTGTAAGGTTATCTGTCCTTCCGATTACTAAAAACCAACAACAATTTTTCCCAGACAATCACTACCAATCAAGAATCAATATATCGTAATTCAACATCCCCCTCGGATTACTCTCTGAATACCCCAGACTTTCTCAATTGAAAATCAATGAAAACATAAAGAAGATTTTCCTTAATCTGTTAGTCTCGAGACTTACAACTATCTCGCAATATGCTTCTAGACAGTGTCTTGCAAGCCAAAAAAATACTTGAATCTAGTGCTCTGCAAAAACATGGTTAAAAATGGATTAGAGTTGATAAAAAGATAGAAAATTCAAAACAGAACCAGAATAACCCTCCAAAAATTTCGTCAAAATTCGAAGAAGGAAGCTACCTTAAAAATCAAAAGTGCAGTTATGCAAGCCCTTTTATTTTATTTTTTATTTATTTTTATGAACAAGGTACAAGCACATTTTCAAAGAAAAAATATTGAAATGAATTAAACATGCAAAAAAAAAAATAGCAGAAAGGATGAAACAACAAGCAACTGGATTTAAATGCAAGAACCCAGAAAATAAATATTATAAATATTTTACTAAACATGAGTTCAAAACAGAAAATGAAATTCAGAAACCAAAGTACCTGGTACTTAGTGTACGAGAATTATATTTCAGTTATCTGAACTGAAGTTACTTCGTTCGATTTTTGCTGATTTGTATACTGGGATATTTGTTACTATCAGGTAGTAATGTTTTTTTGAGATTTTTTTCTCTAGTTTCTGCGGCACGATTATCTTTTTGGGTTTCTCTCTTTTTCTCTTAGCTTACAAAAATATTAAGAGGCTGTAGTTTCGGGAGAGAGAGAGGAGATCTTTAGATGGCTTCTACTCCGAGATTTCCTTGCATACGTGGCAATGATATTTTCCTCGCACCTTAGAGTCCCACGTCATGTCTATCTTTGCCATGTAAATTTGCACGACCAGCCATGTATGCATAGTCACATGCATACATACATGACATGATAACATGGACATGTGATGTTTTAGCGTTAAAAAAATTTAAACAGTTTCCAACGCCACCTGGATAGCTCCTGTCCCTACCAAAGTTCAAATAGCTTGAAGTTAGTTTATGGAAACATTTTCATGTTTCATAAATATTTTTGAGATTCAACTGGAAAAAATAAGTTATTTTTTATTCGTAAAAAAATGATTGGAGAAGGCCACGTGCCAAAAAAATTGGATAGAATTGTAAAATAATATAAATAGACTCAATATGGTGAGTAGAGATAAACTATAGTCTGTTCCCACTTCGGAATTATTGCCAAAGAGATTTTTGGTTGTATAATTGGTGATAAAATATTAGGAGTTCAGATTTTTATGCGTCTCTCTATTTTTAATTTTGTGTTAATTTTTTATTTTTATTTTATTTGTCTGAATATTTCTCTTTTATTCCTAAAATTGTATTTGTTTATTTTTAATTGATCAAAAAACTATGGTTGTTAATAACCTTTAGGGTATAATTGCCCTTTGTCCAAATCCTTTTTTATCTACTTTTTTCTTTTCTCTTTTTTCTTTTTCTTTTCTTCTTCCTTCTCATGCTTATCCTCCCTCGCCCATCACATCACCGCGACCATCTTTGGAACAAATTCCAGCTAATTTTTATTTTGTGGATGGCTCGTCAATTTAGTTGCCTTTTTTGGAATCTTACAATTTTTTTTTTTAATAATACCTAGTAAAAATTATTGACTACACAAACAAATAGAAAAAATCTTAAATTTTCTCTCTTGTTTTGTCTAATCAAAATGGACTTGCTATATATTGAAAATGGTATATTTATATTTTTCATCATCTAGTTGTACTTGTATAGATATAATATAGTATATATACATGTGACGTAAAGGATTATAAATAAGTAGGTTTATAATATTGTAACAAATTTTTTTAGTTAGTTCATAATAAACAGTGAGAACATTTTTCCAAATTTTTTTTTCTTATCATGGTATTAAAGCAATAAATTCGTTTTCTTCTTCTTCCAATAGAAACTGTTCTCTCGCATCTAAATCGTATTTCTTCTTGCATTTTTTAAGATCTAGTGATCTTTCTCTCGATAAATTTGTTCTTCATTTATTCTTCACATCATATTCATGGAAAATCCAACTAGTATTTTCAATTCTTCAAAATCTAAAATAGCAATTCGAGATGTGAATGATCCTTTGTATCTTTATCCATCGATTCGCCGAATTTGATTCTTGTTGCATGTTTTCTCAAAGGTGAAGAAGAATATAGTTCCCGAAGCAAGGCAATGATTATTTCATTGGAAGCAAAAAGGAAGGATGGTTTTTTCATCGATAAGTGCTTCAAACCAGTATACCGATTCACCTAATTATAAACAATAAAAGAAATTCAATGCTTTCGTTCATGCTTGGTCGTTGAATTCGGTATCCACATGGATATTTAATGGTTTGGTATACTATCCATTTGCTCGAAGAGGTTTGGAAGGACTTGAAAAAAAGATTCAATAAACAACACAAAGCTAAAATTTTTACTCTACATAAGAAAATCAATTCACTGGTTCAAGTTACCGATAAGTGTAGCGAGTCTATTATTCAAAACCGAGACATCTTTAGGACCAGTATAATTCTTTAATACCTACATTGACTTGTGTTTACCCAAGCTATAAAAGTAAAATTTCTCAACCTTTTGTTAGGTACACATAATAACACAAAATGATACATTTTCTTATGGGATTAAATGATCAATTTCAACTTATGGGGTCTCAAATTTTATTGATGAATCCTATGCCTACTCATTCACAAGCTATTATATGGTTTCTAATAAAGAATCACGAAGGAGAATTAATCCACATCAAAAGGTGTCTATTTTTTATTCTACTAGAATTACATATCAAGACAAATAATTCACCGGCAAAGGTAATTGCCGAAGAGACATTATTTATGATTATTATCGTATCTCAAGACATACCAAATATGTATATTATAAACCTCATGAGTATCCAAATCCAAATAAGAAGTTTTTTAAGAATACTAGAGTAAGAACAGTGCAAGTACTACTTTTTGTGGAGATAGAAAAAGATCTTATAATGTAAACAATGCGAGTTACGTGGGACATGATGTCGTCAATTGTCATAACGATCCAAAAACATAAACATTTAATAATGCATATTAGAATTCCAACAGGATGTTTTCACCTCCCGTATTTTCCCAACAATAATATCAACAACTATTGAATTTGTTATCAAAAGATGCCACTTTATGAAGGATTAATCCAAGGGTTGAATGTACAACAAACATGGTTGGTGAGTCTTTCTATAGCCTTACCGATATTGTCTCTATTCATACTAAATGGATAGTAGATATAGGGGCTAATGTTCACATGGCTGAACATTTTGATTACTTGGATAATCTTAAAAAATTAGCATCATATTTCACCGTTAAATTACCTAACGGTAATAGAATTCAAGTCACCCATATGGGTTCGGTCTCTTTTTCCTTAGTAAACCTTTAGGATGTTTTCTACTTACTTGAATTCAAATTCAATTTGTTATCAATAGTTAAATTCATTACCGATAATAATTATTTTTCATCATTTTATCCATATTTTGTCTTTTTAGGACCTTAAGATTGGTAGAACAAACGAGATTGGTAAAGTTAGAAATGGTTTATACTTGTATCATGCCAAACACATTCAACTATGTCACAACTTCATCTTCACCTTGTTTTCAAACTACCACTTCTATTAACACCACTAAGAATACTTTCTCGGTTTCTTAAAGGTCTAGTAACCTTTTTTTGTAATAAAGCTAATCATAATACATCTTGTATTCTAAGTAATGTAATATTTTAGCATAAACGATTTGGACATATATCATTTTCTATACTAAATTTGATTCCTAGTCTATCGAGTATCTTCTTCAAATTCTAATTTATCGTGAGATATTTATCCTTTTTCTAAAGAAAATAGATTGTCTTCTTTTACATAATACATCCATTACTCATTCTTTATTTGAGCTTCTCCATATTGATATATGGAGTCCTATAAATATTCTACTTATAATCAAGAAAAATACTTTCTATTCATCGTTGATGATTTTTCTAGAGAGACTTGGACATTTATTATAAAGATCAAGTCCCAAACACTCCGATTCATCGTAAAAAAATTTTTGTTCTTATTCATACATAATTTCTCCATAACATCAAATAAGTTATGTTAGATAAAGGTTCTGAATTCCTTCAAATTAATTATCTAGTTTTTTTCTCTTCTAAATTTATTCTTTATGAAACAACTATTCTTTACACTCCGTAAGAAAATAGATTTGTATAAAGAAAACTTAGGCACGTTCTCAACATTGCTCAAACTCTTATGTTTCAATCCAATATACCTATTAGATTTTAAAGAGATTGTATTCTAACCTCTACATATCTTGTTAACGTAACTCTCACACCTTTTTTGAATGATAACACTCTATTTGAGTTGCTATTTCATAAAACTCTAGTTTTTAATCATCTTAAAGTGTTTGCATGTCTATATTATGCTAAAGTTTTATCTTGTCTTGATAAATTTTTTTTCTAAATCTAAACCTTATGTTTTGATGGGTTATCCTTACTTATAAAAGTGGCTATCGAGTGTTGGACTTATACACTCAATAAGTTTTTGTGTCTCATGATATCTTGTTTCACGAGTTTATGTTTATCATTCTTCTTTTATTTTGTTAGATACCAATTCCGTCCTTCCTTCTTCTGCAATTCATACTCCTAATTTTATTTTTTAATGGACTTATGATGAAGATGTATCATCATATCCAAGTGTCTTCTCTTCCATATTCCACTCCTTCATATTCGGTTTCTTGCTTTCTATAATCACCCTCTATTTTTCCGTATCCTCATGTTTCAACCTTTATATTTGGTATGATTCCTCCTTGCAAATCCATCGAATTTTTAAACAACCCTTTTGGTCTAGAGATTTTTCTTGTCCTA